CATAGTGTTTGGATCACTGTGGCCAGCACCATGGTGTTGGATCACTGTGGCCAGGACCATGGTGTTGGATCACTGTGGCCAGGGCCATGGTGTTGGGTCACTGTGGCCAGGACCATGGTGTTGGATCACTGTGGCCAGGGCCATGGTGTTGGATCACTGTGGCCAGGACCATGGTGTTGGATCACTGTGGCCAGCACGATGGTGTTGGATCATTGTGGCCAGCACGATGGTGTTGGATCACTGTGGCCAGCACGATGGTTTTGGATCACTGTGGCCAGGACCACGGTGTTGGATCACTGTGGCCAGGACCACGGTGTTGGATCACTGTGGCCAGGACCACGGTGTTGGATCACTGTGGCCTGCACCACGGTGTTGGATCACTGTGGCCAACACCACGGTGTTGGATCACTGTGGCCAGGACAATGGTGTTGGATCACTGTGGCCAGGACCATGGTGTTGGATCACTGTGGCCAGGACCATGGTGTTGGATCACTGTGGTCAGGATCATGGTGTTGGATCACTGTGGTCACCACCATGGTGTTGGATCACTGTGGTCAGCACCATGGTGTTGGAACACTGTGGCCAGGACCATTGTGTTGGATCACTGTGGCCAGGACCATTGGTTGGATCACTGTGGCCAGCACCATGGTGTTGGATCACTGTGGCCAGCACCATGGTGTTGGATCACTGTGGCCAGCACCATGGTGTTGATCACTGTGGCCAGCACCATGGTGTTGGATCACTGTGGCCAGCACCATGGTGTTGGATCACTGTGGCCAGCACCATGGTGTTGGATCACTGTGGCCAGCACCATGGTGTTGGATCACTGTGGCCAGCACCATGGTGTTGGATCACTGTGGCCAGCACCATGGTGTTGGATCACTGTGGCCAGCACCATGGTGTGGGATCACTGTGGCCAGCACCATGGTGTGGGATCACTGTGGCCAGGACCATGGTGTTGGATCCACTGTGGCCAGGACCATGGTGTTGGATCACTGTGGCCGGCTCCATGGTGTTGGATCACTGTGGCCAGCACCATGGTGTTGGATCACTGTGGCCAGGACCATGGTATTGGATCACTGTGGCCAGCACCATGGTGTTGGATCACTGTGGCCAGGACCATGGTGTTGGATCACTGTGGCCAGCACCATGGTGTTGGATCACTGTGGCCAGCACCATGGTGTTGGATCACTGTGGCAAGCACCATGGTGTTGGATCACTGTGGCAAGCACCATGGTGTTGGATCACTGTGGCCAGCACCATGGTATTGGATCACTGTGGCCAGCACCATGGTATTGGATCACTGTGGCCAGCACCATGGTATTGGAGCACTGTGGCCAGGACCATGGTGTTGGATCACTGTGGCCAGGACCATGGTGTTGGATCACTGTGGCCAGGACCATGGTGTTGGATCACTGTGGCCAGGACCATGGTGTTGGATCACTGTGGCCAGGACCATGGTGTTGGATCACTGTGGCCAGGACCATGGCATTGGATTATTGTGGCCAGGACCATGGCATTGGATCACTGTGGCCAGCACCATGGTGTTGGATCACCGTGGCCAGGACCATTGTGTTGGATCACCGTGGCCAGCACCATGGTGTTGGATCACCGTGGCCAGCACCATGGTGTTGGATCACCGTGGCCAGCACCATGGTGTTGGATCACCGTGGCCAGCACCATGGTGTTGGATCACCGTGGCCAGCACCATGGTGTTGGATCACCGTGGCCAGCACCATGGTGTTGGATCACCGTGGCCAGCACCATGGTGTTGGATCACCGTGGCCAGCACCATGGTGTTGGATCACCGTGGCCAGCACCATGGTGTTCGATCACCGTGGCCAGCACCATGGTGTTGTTGTAAGGACTGGACAACACTGTGAATGAACTGACGTCTACAGTGTTGTCTCAGACATCACAATCTTGATGTAAGGCGCTAATTAATGGCGCTAATAATGGTCGTATTTGCCTTAATAGATCTGCCCAAGTTGTCGAAGATACGAACTCAGAGTCAATAGCCTTACAGCTATGACAATGTACTTTTAGGCTACAGAGGACTATAGTTCAACAGGCATAACTTCTCCGTACTTATGATAAGTTGTATAGTATATTTAGGCTTGAATGTAGCCCTATCATCTGGGGATAAAATTATTTATTTTGAAAAGCGTCTGTCTTCTTCTCATTCTTTGCATTCAGGCAGATAGTGAGATATTCCGAAACTATATTTTTAACCTTTTATATATATAATATATATAATATATATATATATATATATATATATAATATATATATATATATATATATATATATATATATATATATATATATATATATATATATGTCAGTGCTGCATTGCTCAGTCGCCACTGAGACTCAAAGTTCTTAATGACGTCAGTGATCATTTCGTTGGTCCTGCGCATCTCTGCCCCAGAGACCTATAAGAAGAGACCGATCTGCCCACCGAGGAACTGATTCTGCTGGAGACGAAGTAAGGTGTACATACTGACATTGGAGCGGACTCCAGGCAGGTAAGACAAACTTTATGCAACTACTACCTTTTACAAAGAAAATAAACGACACAGGTTCAGGAACAAGATTTTGTTTTGAGTTCATAGAGCAAAACATTTTATATCTTTTTGTTTTTTTAATTGTAGCAAGAGTGAAAAAGTGATGTTGTCTCTTGGGGTGTCTGAGATTAGCTTAAATAACTGTTAATAGAGAAATATTGTAAATAAATTGTTGAGAGAGCCGATAAGTTGATAAATTAAACATGTACAACACTTGGGTATGTTTATTATCAAATAGTTTCTCATTATTATTATTAAAATTCTGATAAATACAGCCAGTTACTGAGAGAATGTGTGTGTAGCTTCTCCTTCCAGAATATCAGACAAATACTTCAGAATACTGGAGACGATTGACATTTAATATTTGTCGTATTTAATAACATAGATGGATAAGATTTACAAGAGATTTTAATTATACGTTGATTTTAGAGGAAAACAGATGTGGTTATCGGAAAAGAGTCAAATTTTATCAAGAAAATACGCACTGCTTATTAAAATGACGTGAAATTATTGTAATATAGCTTAAGATAAATGATAAATTGTGCTTATTCTAGCCTCTACATACGTACAGAAATTTTAATATTGATCGACCTTTATAAAGTTGACATTGCTGACATGACTGATTACTATTATCCTGGAGAGCGCTAAACCGGTAGAGATTATACAGAGCCTGTAGGAGGGGGGAATGAAAGGCATTCTGATTTAATTCAGGTAACTGGAGCACAGATACAATTCCCTGTATCAAGAGCCCTTCACCAGCATCTAGGAACCTCCCTTCGGGGGACAGCATGACTGAATTTACACAAAACTAAGAATATTTAGTATTGCGAGTATATTTAAGGATACAGAACTTGTTGCATCTTAGAGGAGAAGCTACTTTCTATCGCCTTACCATGTTTGACAGAGGCAGTACTATGGAGGAACAGAGAAGGTACCATCGCACGGTGACAGCGCATCGCGCCAGGATCGTCTGGATGTGGATACAGGGGATGAAAGCGAGTAGCATCTCCTACCATACTGGTGCCAGCCTCACCACTGTGTACAGGTGGATCCGTCGCTGGCTAGAGGAAGGCACGGTGACCACAAGACCCTACCGCAGGAGACCCTACCGCAGGAGACCTCGGTTTGCCCAGACAAGATCAAACGTCTTGGTAGATTCACCCTTCGACCCGCAACTTGTTTCCACGGCTCTCAGTGCTTCACATTGTCTGAAACTGCCGTTTGTCACTGATAAAGAAAATTCTGACTATCAGGAAAGTAAAATGAATGCATTTCTGCCACTCTGCTGGGTTGCGGCTCTCCACGACTGCAGAGATAAATGCCTGACGCATCCAGCAAAATTTCAGAGTTAATACAATAATTGATTTTCCTATTGCCTCTGAATATTACGAAACGAGTTGATCATTCGTTCAGTATAGCCATAGATTGTTTTTGAAACAACTAAAACACAGAAATAAAATGAAAGAAGCTCACATCTGTATTTTTTACCCGATGAAATTGCAACAAGAATTTTTTTTTTGTAAAAATAGAGCTTAACTCGATAACACACACACACACACACAACACACACAAATATATATACATATACATATGTATCACCTCACACTCAGAATATCCCCTTGACTGCAATATCCCCGCCGGTTCCTCAGAGTGCAGGCACCGCCCTTCCCACTTTGAAGATTCAAGTACAGCTAACCAGTTTCCCGGAATCCCTACATAAAAGTCATCTTGCTCACATAACCCAAAGTCCATTAAAAATCACTTGCCTCCATTCACTCCTGTATAAGACGCTCACACAAGCCTGCTGGATGCTCAAGCCCCTTCAAGATCAAAGCCTCTTGTAACCCCTCCCCCCTCTCCAACCACTCCTGAGACATTCCTTCCCTTTTTACCTTCCACCCCAGATTTATACTCCCCGTTAGTCAGTCTATCCCTGTCTATCCTCTCTACTACCACAAACCACCTCAATAACCCCTAGTGAGCTCTCTGAATTACATCCTTGGTAACCCAATATCATTTAATTCTAACGCTCCGAGTTCTCCCTACATTGCTCTCAAGAATGACATCTCTGTTGGTATCAATGGATATTTAAAAATAGATGTTCAAGCCTCTGCTTCAATATATCTTCCCCAGGTTGATGTACTTCTTATTCTTGTACATTCATTTCATTGCTAAACCATCTGGTACATTTCCTTTCTGGCCTCCATAGATATACTCCTGTCTTTCCATGGATGCCTTCACACACTACCCATGTTTTTAAGTGTATCTGTTCTCTAGTTTAAATCATCTTACACAGACCCACTTGCTGACATGTCCGCTCCCAGATACCCAAAAGCCTCCACTTACTCCATACTTCCTAATTCCAGTTTGATATTTAATCTGTCACTGCACAATTTACACTTGTATTTCAGGCAGAAATGTCGTTTCTGTGGCTACAGACAGTGATGGTGGTGAGTCCTCTGGTGATGGCAGGATATCGAACAAGTGGTGAGGCAGGTGGTGTAGACGAGGTGAGTGAGGTGGTGAAGCAAGTTCTAGGGGATCTCTACCCTGGGTGTCACCTGGTGCTTCTCACAGCTGCGTCACCAGCACCTTTGTTTTCCAGTTTATTAAGGTGATTTTCGAAGATGCAAATTTTATCTTTAATATGGTGTATTGATCCATTTTTTTGCAGGCAGATGAATCTTAATATATTCCAAATTATTTTGAAACTTCCACTAATGTACATCTTATCTTTCATTTTGAAAACTTTTGTAAATTAAATAGAAATTTTAATAATGATTAGCCAATCTGTACCCAAAACATGAAAAATCTCTAAGAAATCAGTAAAAACAAGGAAAGTGAGGCAATGCTATACCAGGTTGACTTTTCTTTATAAATAATTATTGCCGATCACATTAACTAAATTATCAAGGTAAATATTTCTGATATCGAAAAACTGATTTAAAAATAATTCTGACTTATTTAATGACCAATATTATTAATAATAATGAGTTCCTCTACTTTCTTAATAACCTCCTTGGCTCATCAGACACCTGAGTGAGAGTGTGATGGCTGGAATGGTGGTAGAGGCAGGATGGGTGTTGTCCCAGGATAAGCTGGTCCAGGACCACCTCCTTCAGGGGCTGTGGGGCGACATCAGAACCACCTGCCGGGGACTCATCGTCGACCTTACCACAACTAACGACACGAATCTAGTTCTCAAGTAAGTCGAATCTTTAATGAAATCAATTGTAATTTTCATTTGATCATATAAGCCTTTATGGATGAAATAATTACATGCAATAAGACCAGTTAATTTTTGGTAGTCCTTCCCTGTTTTTCCAAGTAAACATTATGCTACAAAAATATTTAGTGAACCTTATATATATTTCCTTGGACCTCTTCTTTTCTGCAACATTCCAAGCTCTTGAAAGGCCTAGAGCTATCATTCAACTCCCCCAGTGGCTGTTTTACATCTTGTTTTGCTTGTTCACTATTTTTGCATAATATATATATATATATATATATATATATATATATATATATATATATATATATATATATATATATATATATATATATATATATATATATATATCTTTTATTCAGTTTGGTTGAATCATCAAGACTTTGGCAGAAGTCTGAGACAGGTGTTGTGGTCTTAGGGAAGAAAGCGGGAGCCAGGGACGTCCTTCTCCACCACAGTCTCCGCAACACCGTCAGCGCCCTCTACCTGGCCCTCTGCGACCTCACCCTCCAGGACTCACCTCAATACTCTCGCCTTGGTAAAGCTCCCTGGCTTCAAGGTCAGTATAAGTTTTTTTATAATAAATTTCTCCTTGAAAAACATGTCTGCCTTAGTTCCCTCTTACATAACTGCAGATAAAAGTTCCTTATGGTTTAAAAATCTAAAAGTTATTTCTATTGCCTAATTTATTTTAGAAGTTTTTTGTCATCTGATCGAGGCCTTCTACTGGCTTACCAGTCTGTCCCTTTAAAAGTTAAGATATTTTTTCAAAGCCTTTAGCCAGCAATTTATTATGGAAATGAGTTTTATTTTTTATTATTATCACACTGGCTGATTCCCACCAAGGCAGGGTGGCCCGAAAAAGAAAAACTTTCACCATCATTCACTCCATCACTGTCTTGCCAGAAGGGTGCTTTACACTACAGTTTTTAAACTGCAACATTAACACCCCTCCTTCAGAGTGCAGGCACTGTACTTCCCATCTCCAGGACTCAAGTCCGGCCTGCCGTTTCCCTGAACCCCTTCATAAATGTTACTTTGCTCCCACTCCAACAGCACGTCAAGTATCAAAAACCATTTGTCTCCATTCACTCCTATCAAACACGCTCACGCATGCCTGCTGGAAGTCCAAGCCCCTCGCACACAAAACCTCCTTTACCCCCTCTCTCCAACCTTTCCTAGGCCGACCCTACCCCGCCTTCCTTCCACTACAACTGATACACTCTTGAAGTCATTCTGTTTCGCTCCATTCTCTCTACATGTCCTGAACCACCTCAACAACCCTTCCTCAGCCCTCTGGACAACAGTTTTGCAATCCCGCACCTCCCTAACTTCCAAACTACGAATTCTCTGCATTATATTCACACCACACATTGCTCTCAGACATGACATCTCCACTGCCTCCAGCCTTCTCCTCGCTCAACATTCATCACCCATGCTTCACACCCATATAAGAGCGTTGGTAAAACTATACTCTATACATTCCCCTCTTTGCCTCCAAGGACAAAGTTCTTTGTCTCCACAGATTCCTAAGTGCACCGCTCACCCTTTTTCCCTCATAATTCTATGATTCACCTCATCTTTCATAGACCCATCCGCTGACACTCCACTCCCAAATATCTGAATACATTCACCTCCTCCATATCTCTCCCTCCAATCTGATATCCAATCTTTCATCACCTAATCTTTTTGTTATCCTCATAACCTTACTCTTTCCTGTATTCACTTTTAATTTTCTTGTTTTGCATACCCTACCAAATTCATCCACCAACCTCTGCAACTTCTCTTCAGAATCTCCCAAGAGCACAGTGTCATCAGCAAAGAGCAACTGTGACAACTCCCACTTTATGTGTGATTCTTTATCTTTTAACTCCACGCCTCTTGTCAAGACCCTCGCATTTACTTCTCTTACAACCCCATCTATAAATATATTAAACAACCACGGTGACATCACACATCCTTGTCTAAGGCCTACTTTTACTTGGAAATAATTCTCCCTCTTTCCTAATACTCTAACTTGAGCCTCACTATCCTCATAAAAACTCTTCACTGCTTTCAGTAATCCTACCTCCTATACCATACACCTGCAACATCTGCCACATTGCCCCCCTATCCACCTGTCATACGCCTTTTCCAAATCCATAAATGCCACGAAAACCTCTTTAGCCTTATCTAAATACTGTTCACTTTTATGTTTCACTGTAAACACCTGGTCCACACAACCCCTACCTTTCCTAAAGCCTCCTTGTTCATTTGCTATCCTATTCTCCGTCTTACTCATAATTCTTTCAATAATAACTCTACCATGCACTTTACCAGGTATACTCAACAGACTTATCCCCCTATAATTTTTGCACTCTCTTTTGTCCCCTTTGCCTTTATACAAGTTTTATAATGTGTGTAATTTATATAGTGTTAACTGCCATTCATGTTAGGTTTGAAGTAAATTTATAGACAAAAAGTGCAAATGCTTATTTAAATAATTGCAAATGCTTATTTAAATAATTGCAAATGCTTATTTAAATAAGTGCAAATGCTTATTTAAATAAGTGCAAATGCTTATTTAAATAAGTGCAAATGCTTATTTAAATTGCAAATGCTTATTTAAATAAATGCAAATGCTTATTTAAATAAGCGCAATTACTTATTTAAATAAGCATTTGCACTTTTTAAATAAGTACAAATGCTTATTTAAATAAGTGCAAATGCTTATTTCATCAGTTATCTGTTCATAAATGAAAATATACTTTTCACTATATCGTGAGAATAACTAACTGAGCAGAGTCCTGAAGACCTGCAAATATTGGGCTGCTGGTTTGGTCCAGAGTCCTCCTTGCAAGCTTCGATTTATAGATGACGTATTTTCTGTTTAAGTTGCAGGGAGATTTCCCCTCCCGTCAAAATTTGTTGTAAACTAGAGTCTATGACAAGGAATGAATTTTGAACATGGTTTGAACTTTATCAGATAACCTTTGAATTGTCTTTAAATTGTGGTTATGGTACTTTTAATAGTCAACAAATTTGTCAGAATATCGGCAAATTGGTGTACTGTAGATAGTTGACAGATCATTAACCAAAAACTGGTTATATTAGAAGCACAAGTTCTAGTTTATTTTGTTTTATCCCACTGCTCAAACTTGTTAATTATCCTTAAATTACCTCCACCCCTGAGCAGCAGTTGTGGGAGGCAGCGTGAGCGTGTATCGTCGCTGTATGTACTGCGACAATGGGTACACTGGTGTCCAGCTTATGTACCGAGGAAGCATCACCTCTCTCGTCAGTCACACTGAAGACCTTCTCCAAGGCGAGTTTTCTTTATCATTTTTATTTTTTTATTAACACACTGGCCGATTCCCACCAAGGCAGGGTGGCCCGAAAAAGAAAAACTTTCACCATCATTCACTCCATCACCGTCTTGCCAGAAGGGTGCTTTACACTACAGTTTTTAAACTGCAACATTAACACCCCTCCTTCAGAGTGCAGGCACTGTACTTCCCATCTCCAGGACTTAAGTCCGGCCTGCCGGTTTCCCTGAACCCCTTCATAAATGTTACTTTGCTCACACTCCAACAGCACGTCAAGTATTAAAAACCATTTCTCTCCATTCACTCCTATCAAACACGCTCACGCATGCCTGCTGGAAGTCCAAGCCCCTCGCACACAAAACCTCCTTTACCCCCTCCCTCCAACCTTTCCTAGGCCTACCCCTACCCCGCCTTCCTTCCACTATCATATATGGGAGATATCACACACACAAAAAAACGTGTAACTGCAAATATGAAAAAAATACCAGAGTGAAAATGCGAAATAAAACCTAAGCGCTGTCATGTGCTTACACACACATTTTCCTATTCCTCTGAAGATGTGTAAGAACCTGAAAGCGATCAGATATTATTTCCAATTTTCACTGTGTTATTTTTTCTTAATTATATATTTGAACCTTCAAATAAACATAATATGCCTCGATCTCGTCACTCAAATCTATTCATTACTAATCCACAAATAGATTAAAAGCAGGCGAGGTTACGGCCCTTCTCTAACCACCTTCATGACGTGACGTCCACACTACCTGACGTCCACACTACCTGACGTCCACACTACCTGACGTCCACACTACCTGACGTCCACACTACCTGACGTCCACACTACCTGACGTCCACACTACCTGACGTCCACACTACCTGACGTCCACACTACCTGACGTCCACACTACCTGACTCTACAACATTGTACACCGGGAAAATACAGAAGAGTTTTATGACACGAAGACTTCCTGTGTAATACGGTTTCACGATGAATTTTTTCTCCTGCAGAGCAGCTCAGTAATCTGATGGGACACAAGTTCAGAGTCGTGGCCCTGCGTCACTTTCCTTTCATGGACTACCAGACAGTGACCAAGGAACCTGGCAGTGCCATCATCCCCACAGACTGTATGGACACAAGGTTCCTCAACATCTTCTCTGCAAAATTGAACTTTACGTATGACTTATTTTTGTATTTACCTGACTATAAAATTTATATTGGATGAATTTGCATATTATGAATTTTTTTTTCACATCCATTATAAATCTAAACCAATCCATGAAAATGTATTTTTAAAAATACTGTGATGGTTAAATATCTTCTTTATCAGTCTTTCGTGTGCAGCTGAAAAAACTGTAAATATATCTCAATAATAGGCAAGTGGAACAGAATTCTTCCTCCGTAAGCTATGTGTGTCGTAAGCGGCGACTAAAATGCCGGGAGCAAGGGGCTAGTAACCCCTTCTCCTGTATACTTTACATTTCTTTTGGGCTACGGCTGGTTGCTTCAAAGAAGAAGAATAAAAAAATACAAACTGAATTAACAACATGATAGAAGAACACTGAGCTTTCACTCTCGCCAGATACTATATATACGAGCAGAGGGAGTCTCAGTGGGGAGTTCCGACGGACGGTGTGTTTGACGGTATGATTGGCGAACTACAGAGGGAGGAGACGGACTTCTGCCTGATCGCAGCGCCTACCCCTGAGAGACTCCGAGTTACCGAGTACGCCAGAGCTTACCCTTCCACAGATCTTGTTATCGTCTCCCTAAAACCAACACTCTTACCCGAATTCTGGGCATTTTTCAGGCCATTTAAAGGTAAGTCTATAGGAAGAATGTCACCAGATCGTGACAATACTGTGGTTGGAATAATTCACAACCCACAAACTGGTGGTAAATTTTTTTTTTTGACGTTACGAACCATCTAGGACCATCATTAAGTCATGAATGAGAAAGCAACAGAGTAAAACAAATTAGGTCACATGAAGAGGTTTTAGACACCCGAGGTCAAACGACGTTAGGTGAAGGTCGAGGTCAGGTCAAGTCTAATGATTCATCTTCAGTTAATAACCCCCCCCCCAAAAAAAAAAATTACTGCGAAGATTATAGGTGAAAAAGGACATGTCATTAACTCACGCATATTTACATTAAAAAAATAATAACTTAAGCGTTAGCCAAAATGTTATAAATTATCACATCGAAGCAATGACATTTATCGCAAAATAGACTCATGTGCAACATCTGGGTATCTGTATTTGTAGACGTTTCGCCAACCAGTGGCTTGTGGTCTTTCCCGGTGTTTTCTTGCCAGTGGGTCGAAGAAGACTACTGAAAGGAAACTATATCATTCAGAGAGAGAGAGAGAGAGAGAGAGAGAGAGAGAGAGAGAGAGAGAGAGAGAGAGAGAGAGGAGAGGTAGAAGGACATTGCATCTGTCAGATATAACAAACTCCTTCAGCCACACACTGGGGATCGTAGTGACCGGCCATGAAACCTCTTCCTTCACAGGTAAAACATACCCATCACCATTATTTTTCCTGCCCACAGAACGATTATACCATATGTAGTCGATTATTAAATCTTCGTGATGCAGGAGAGCTGTGGCTGGGTTTGCTGGTGAGCGTGGTGGTGTGGGGCGTGACACTGTGGCTGCTGCAGAGGGCGTGGCACTCTGCTTCAGGAGGGCGTGGGCAGGACTTTATTACCGCCCTCATGTACGGCTGGGGAGCACTCCTCCAGACTCCGCCTTCCGATCCCTCCGTCAACGTCTCTGGCCAAGTAGGTGAATGTTGTGACCAGGTAAGTCAGTGCTGTTCCTAGGTAGGTGAATGCTTTAGCCAGGAAGATTAGTTATGTGACCAGTCAAGTGAAATTCGTTTTGTTTGTCAAAGTATTCCTTACCTAAACACTTGTTTAATTTCCCTTTCTAGTAATACCTATTTGTATTTGTTTACCATTGTAGGTACTGGTGGGGTGGTGGCTGGTATTCTGTCTGATCATTGGCACTGCCTTCACTTCCTCACTCATCGCTCACTTGACAGTGCAGGAAAAGTCGCCAACTCTGGAGACTTTTCAAGACCTGCTTAACCAGCAGAACTGGAAATGGGGAACAGAGAAGTGGCTCCTTTCCGGGGTACCTCTTGAGTATTTCTCCAGACATTTCGATCCCGTGGTACAGCAGATCTATAAAAAAATGCAGGTAATTTATTTTTACACCATCGTTTACACCGTCGTTTACACCATCGTTTAATAATAAGTTAGTCGTGTTGTAAATTTTGATTCCCTAATTATGACTTCATTGTGTGTCTGGCTATGGGAAAGACGAACGTCGCTGTAACTATACACTACAATATATTACAATATATTCGCTATAAGCTGTATGTTGTTATCCTTGTTTACTTCATCATGAGAAATAATCAAACAAAATCACTTAAACTAAGTTGGCATGAGCTTCTACAATCATTATTAAAGTAACTGCTGTTGTTACTACTACTACTATACTCACTATTACTACTCTACAGACGCTCATCAATAATAACATTAAGCGCCTGTGTTTCAGATCCTGCCAGTGGACGAAGCCTTGAAGAATGTGGCACAGGGAAGCTTCTCCTTCATCACCTTCAAGGAGTACGTGAGCATCATTATAGCCTCCCGCTATGCAGACTCCCTGGGTAACACTCCCTTCTATACCAGCAAGACCAGCGTCTCCATGATGGCAGCATTTGGTTGGTGTATAAGGTGAGTACTGAACAATTGGTCCCTCTGCCTTGGTGACAAGTTCGTGAAATAACAGTTCCGTGGGTGAAAGAATTCACAATCCTCTCAAATTAGCGATGCAACTTCAGATGATTTAAGCACGTCCTGGACCACTAATTCATTGGTAATGGTCCAGGACGGACGGTAATTTCGTCAAAATGTTATTTCTAAATAGTGGGTTGATTGTCAACGAATAATTTTAAATTTCTACAGAAAAGGCGCTCCATTTTATCCACGATTTAGTCAGTTGATGAGGAGATTGGAGGACAGTGGCGTTACGGCTTACTGGAGGCAAGACGTGATCGCCAGACGAGTGAGGGAGAACAGAGAAACTGCGGCACTCCAAGCTATGGCACCAGAGATATACACAGCAAACGTAAACATAATATCACGTTGTCAATATCTCACATGCCATTCAAATCCCAGATTTCAGTTCTGTAAACAGACCCGAGTTCTGGAGTTGGGATGCCCTCTATCTGCTCTCTGAAGGTTGGCTAAACATAGTACGGTTTAGATCACCTAAATTGTGAAAGGACAGCCAGGGAATAAGTGATGGTGAATGAGTTTTCTTTTTCCGGGTCATCTTACCTTTGTTGGAGACATTAGTCAGCAATCACCTCGATCAATCTGCACATGGGATTCACATTAAGCAGTAACTGGATAACAACACAAGCGATAAATACCACCACGCTAAGTTAGCAGGTCTTGTTAACATTACAATTAAAGTAAATTTTTATTACCGACTGAATGTTTATTATTAATATAAACCTATACATTTCCCAGGAAGACAAGAGACAGGTGGTACTGGGACTAAACCACCTGAAGGGAGCCTTCTACCTGCTGCTGGTTGGCTGTGGAGTGGCGTTCCTCATCCTGGTGGGGGAGAACCTCGTCCACTAGTGCTCCTCGAACATCAAAACAGGAATAAACGGCGCCAAGACTGTGTAATCATGGACGTAAAAACTGCTTCTCTGAAACCCATAGACCAACCCATACATATTGTTGCAAATCTTCTCGCTAGTTTTAAAATCCTTTTCTGTATCACTTGTAATAGAGCTAATAATATATATATATAATATATATATATATATATATAATATATATATATATATATATATATATATATATATATATATATATATATATATATATATATATATATATATATAATACACGTATATGTAATAAGATAGCAGTGACCCCCGACCTGTTACCTTGGTCCCTTCTCTTTCTCTCACCTGACCTCAGAGTGTTCGTATATTTGGGATATATTTGCCTACTGCAAGTGTCTTTATTTCCACTTGTGTATGATGTAAGAAGTTATGTTAGACACGTGTCTGGAGTGAAATAAACATTTCTGTGTATTTGTAAGAGCAATAAAACATTTAAAGTAACGTGGCTTATAAACCTCAGTCTCCTAAATTTCCTTCATGTCTTCGCTAAAATATTCCGGACGGCAGGTACGCAAATCACGCAAAAATTTGTGACGAGAACGATGAATGTTTTATCCTCTGGAACTCACGAAAATGTAATGACACGATTTCAAACAAACCATACCACGGGCGGGGTTAGAACCCGCGATCAGAGAGTCAGAAACTCCGCTAACCACTGGGCCAGCTAGCCACAATAAGATTCATCCAACTAGGTATATTTATACACCTTAGGAAGGTTAGCATAGGCGTTAGCATAGCTAATACGTAGATCTGGAGTTTCTGACTCTCTGATAAGGGTTCTAACCCCGCCAGTGGTATGTTTTTTTTTAAATCGTACCTACAGTAACTAGGCCATTTGTAAGCAACAGGTCCACTGGTATTGATTATGGGACACACCGGAATATTAGGCTTGTGCTTTATTAACAAGTGATAAACATGGCAAAAAAGTCGTCTCCATTTCAATGACCCAAGAAAAGGAATCACATTCACCATCGTTCTTTCAACAGATGTTTTGTCAGTAGTGTAGAGGCATCAGAGATGGTCTTCTAACAGCTACATTGCCAGCCATTCCTCAGAGCGTAGGCACTGTACTTTCCACCTCCAGAATTTAAACCCACTAACCAGTTTTCCCGACTCCATAAATTATTAGTATTATGTATACATACGTACATAAATTCTATTTGATACTTTATAAATGACTATCATACCAGGTCCTCATTTCTTCCTGAGGAACAAGAACGTCAAAATAAAGATGATGAGGGAGAGTTGCCACATGTATTCTGAACCTCCTGTATATAAACACGCGAGAGTCGCCTTGGAAAGCATTTCTTCTAGAGTTGCCACACGCGCTTCTCCTGTACCACCTAGGTAAGTCTAATAGCTATCTTCGTTATTTTAAGTTAATAGTTAGAGAAAGACAATTTCCTCTATGTTACTTTTACCAAAAAACTGTTTCTATACTTTTTAGTTTATTGGATTGGTAGACTTTTCCTGTTAGCAATAACATACGTTTACTCTTTCCAGTGATATAATTTGCTTCTAAATTACAGCATAATCTTACCAAGCCTATTTGAGGCCAGCTAAACTTATGTTAGTATTATTTAACATTGATTTTTTGGAATTTTGTAAAGTTCTACGGGTTTTGTAGTGTTACGGCAAACATTTTTCTAATTTAGCAAAACAATCATCGGTGAAGATGCCGAGTTGATAAGTCTTGACTATGAAAAACTGAATGAATCTCTTTTCTGATGTATGGAAGATGGAACGATCTTGAGTGAGATTAACTGAAGACAGTCACACACACAGTCACTCTCTCTCACACACAGCCACTCTCTCTCTCACACACAGCCACTCTCTCTCTCACACACAGCCACTCTCTCTCTCACACACAGCCACTCTCTCTCTCACACACAGCCACTCTCTCTCTCACACACAGCCACTCTCTCTCTCACACACAGCCACTCTCTCTCTCACACACAGCCACTCTCTCACACACTACCTCTCTCTCTCACACACACAGCCTCTCTCTCTCTCTCTCTCTCACACACACACAGCCCCTCTCTCTCACACACACACACAGCCTCTCTCTCACACACACACAGCCTCTCTCTCACACACACACACAGCCTCTCTCTCTCACACACACACAGCCTCTCTCTCTCACACACACACAGCCTCTCTCTCTCTCACACACACACAGCCAGCCTCTCTCTCTCACACACACAGCCTCTCCCCTCTCACACACACACAGCCTCTCTCTCTCACACACACACAGCCTCTCTCACACACACACAGCCTCTCTCTCTCACACACACACAGCCTCTCTCTCTCACACACACACACAGCCTCTCTCTCTCTCACACACACACAGCCTCTCTCTCTCACACACACACAGCCTCTCTCTCTCACACACACACAGCCTCTCTCTCTCACACACACACAGCCTCTCTCTCTCACACACACACAGCCTCTCTCTCTCACACACACACAGCGCCTCTCTCACACACACACAGCGCCTCTCTCACACACACACAGCGCCTCTCTCACACACACACAGCGCCTCTCTCACACACACACAGCGCCTCTCTCTCACACACACAGCGCCTCTCTCACACACACACAGCGCCTCTCTCACACACACACAGCCTCTCACAAACACAGCCTCTCACAAACACAGCCTCTCACAAACACAGCCTCTCACAAACACAGCCTCTCACAAACACAGCCTCTCACACACCCACAGCCTCTCACACACCCACAGCCTCTCACACACCCACAGCCTCTCACACACCCACAGCCTCTCACACACCCACAGCCTCTCACACACCCACAGCCTCTCACACACCCACAGCCTCTCACACACCCACAGCCTCTCACACACCCACAGCCTCTCACACACCCACAGCCTCTCACACACCCACAGCCTCTCACACACCCACAGCCTCTCACACACCCACAGCCTCTCACACACCCACAGCCTCTCAAAAACCCACAGCCTCTCACACACCCACAGCCTCTCTGGTACACCCACAGCCTCTCTGGTACACCCACGGCCTCTAGGGTACACCCACGGCCTCTTGGGTACACCCACGGCCTCTCACACACAGCCTCTCTGGTACACCCACAACCTCTAGGGTACACCCACGGCCTCTTGGGTACACCCACGGCCTCTTTCACATACAGCCTCTCTGGTACACCCACGGCCTCTCTCACACACAACCTCTCTGGTACACCCACGGCCTCTCTCACACAGCCTCTGCTACACCCACGGCCTCTCTCACACAACCTCTCTGCTACACACACACAGCCTCCCTGGTACACCCACGGCCTCTCTCACACACAGCCTCTCTGGTACACCCACAGCCTCTAGGGTACACCCACAGCCTCTAGGGTACACCCACGGCTTCTAGGGTACACCCACGGCCTCTTGGGTACACCCACGGCCTCTCTGGGACACCCACGGCCTCTCTGGGACACCCACGGCCTCTCTGGGACACCCACGGCCTCTCACACAGCATCTCTGGTACACCCACGGCCTCTCTGGTACACCCACGGCCTCTCTCACACACAGCCTCTCTGGTACACCCACGGCCTCTCTCACACACAGCCTCTCTGGTACACCCACGGCCTCTCTCACACACAGCCTCTCTGATACACCCACGGCCTCTCTCACACACAGCCTCTCTGGTACACCCACGGCCTCTCTCACACACAGCCTCTCTGGTACACCCACGGCCTCTCTCACACACAGCCTCTCTGGTACACCCACGGCCTCTCTCACACACAGCCTCTCTGGTACACCCACGGCCTCTCTCACACGCAGCCTCTCTGGTACACCCACGGCCTCTCTCACACGCAGCCTCTCTGGTATCATGTCAATAATGTGAACAATTAATCTCTGGCGTAAAACATAATTAACTGATATAGATTTCTTCAAAGAATTCTCTTAATTATTGCTATAAATCGTATGTGTTGTCGAAGATTTTCTTGGTTATCACGAAGAAGTCAACTGACATTTTTTAAGTTGCACAGATTTTTCTGAAGCCGTTTTGAAGCTCAGTATATTATTAAAATTATATGAGCATAATATGGACATCATCCTCTCAAGGACACTCCTGCTTGACAGAGCCGCCTCTAGACATCATCCTCTCAAGGACACTCCTGCTTGACAGAGCCGCCTCTAGACATCATCCTCTCAAGAACACTCCAGCTTGACAGAGCCGCCTCTAGACATCATCCTCTCAAGGACACTCCAGCTTGACAGAGCCACCTCTAGACATCCTCTCAAGGACAATCCTGCTTGACAGAGCCGCCTTTAGACATCATCCTCTCAAGGACACTCCTACTTGACAGAGCCGCCTCTAGAGAATGGAACAGCGATACATCACCAATCCAGCTGTGTTGTCTGGACGCACAAGAATTGTCTGGCTGTGGCTGTGTGGCATGTCAGCAAGGGACATATCCTCAACGACAAAATTCAGCGTATCAACAGTGTACAGGTGGATCAGAAGGTGGTATGAGCAAGGCTCAGTCCACACAAAACCATACCGTAGGCGGCGACTCAGAGCTTCAAGCAACGAGGAAGGTGTAGCAACTTTCCCATGCAAACCTCATGCAATAAAATTATCTGCCATTCCCTTCCCCACTTACGAATATTTCCACTACCCAGTACCACTGGCACACTCTTATCAAAAAAATATAATTGAAAATTCATATAACATTTAGCATGCGAGAAAACTCGTTGCTAAGGATAAGCGATCACGGGACTGACACCAGAAATGTCCCCAACAAATCTGGAATCCATGGAAATTAAATTGAGATATAAATGTTTAAAATTTCTTGTCAAATACTGACAAATACCTTACTCCACTCAGCACAAGACATGTTTTCTATAATTTAAAGCAAGTGCTCTCATGTGTATCACCATCACAAATCGTGTATATATATTATTGCTAGTCTGGGACTAAGCCAAAGCCAATAGTCCAAGCAGACACACACGCTGTCAACCAACAGACACACACGCTGTCAACCAACAGACACACACGCTGTCAACCAACAGACACACACGCTGTCAACCAACAGACACACACGCTGTCAACCAACAGACACACACGCTGTCAACCAACAGACACACACGCTGTCAACCAACAGACACACACGCTGTCAACCAACAGACACACACGCTGTCAACCAACAGACACACACGCTGTCAACGAAGCTACTAAATATACAAATTAATAAAAACTGGTAAGGCAACCTAGGTAATGTTATCGTGGCTGTAGAAGGCCTATCACAACCTCCAGTCTGCGTTTTATGTTTGAATGTAAGCAATTTTATTAAGTGGGCAATTGAATAGTTGGCAAGAAGACCCTTGCTGTTGAAAACAGTTCCTCTTGTCCGACCTACATACGATGTTCTTAATAAAGACCTGGTCTCTGTCCCCGCCGATTTCAATTAGAAATCGGAAACGCTCGTAAGTATGCAAAATAAGACTTTGAATTCCAGAAGCATTCTAAAGCTATAAATCCGAAATTTAGCTAAATCTGTATCCTACAGGAAGCCAATGCCACATTTTGAGCAATTATTTCTAGATGAGGCTCTTGTTAGAATATTTGCAAACTGGATAAACGTACTTTGACATGTGTTACGTCTTGTTCAAGGGTAAGCACACTGAGATATATAATTATATATAATGTCGTGCCGAATATGTAAAACTGGTCAATTAGCAAGAACTCATTTAAAATTAAGTTCTTTCTGAAATTTTCTCTTATACGTTTAAAGATATATTTTTTTCATTAATGCTAATGTAAAAATTTTTAATTTTGCACCAAAAGAATTTTAGGAAACTTACCTAACCTTATTATAACAAGAGCAATTTATTTTAGCCTAACCCAACTAAATATATTTTAAATACGTTTACAATAATTTACTACTAAACAAACACAATCAAATATATATTTTTTGCATACACAAATTTTCACTTGTCCTATATGGCAAGATGAGCGTTGCTATTTAAGCCAAGATCGCAAGTTCTGCCTATTCGGCACGACATTATATATATATATATATATTATATATATATATATATATAATATATATAATATATATATATATATATATATATTATATATTAATTAATATATATATATATATATACACATACTAAGATCACAGTAAACAGGTGATTTCAGAATATGCAACATTCCAAGCGCTTTCGTGACCTCTCATATTATCAAGGAACTAAAAAACAATACATTAAAGGAAGGCATATAAAGGTCGAGACCAAAACTCATCATCACATCACACAACAAAGCAACACCTGACGCGCGACGACATCCGACTCATAAGAAATACTGCAGCAGGCATGTTGACCCCTAAGAGTTGGGGCCTACTGCAGTGTTCCTTTCTTATGAGTCGGATGTCGTCGCGCGTCAGGTGCTACTTTGTTGTGTGATGTGATGGTGAGGTGTGGTCTCGACCTTTATACGTCTTCCTCTGATGCATTTTTTTATAGTTCCTTGATAATGTGAGAGGTCACGAAAGAGCTTGGAATTTCACTATTCTTTCACAGTGGTTGTTTTGCCATATATATATATATATATATATATATATATATATATATATATATATATATATATATATATATATATATATATATATATATATAAATACGTCAAATAGTATTTTTTAGAAATCAAAAATATAGGTAAAGGTTTATTTTACTTTCACTCATATTTGATTACTATAATTTGCAAAAGAAGAAACCTTCCTCTGTAAATCACGAGTGTCGTAAGAGGCGACTAAAATGCCTGAAGTAAGGGGCAGGTATCCCCTTCTGTATAAATTACTGTACTTTTGCGCCAGTGTAATTATTACCGTTGTTTTAATCACTCCTGTACATGAGCCTTTCCTGTTTATTCCTGTCAATGCTTATTATGTATAAATAAATTTATTTTACTGAAGAGGTCGAGTGATTTTTTCCTTCATGGCTGATATATTGACTCAGGTGACGTCATTCTGCTGAAGTACAAGGCACACACAGACACCCTCCACCCTCACTAGTATTTATCTGACTCACGAAATCGTAATGACACGATTGCAAACAAACCATACCACGGGTGGGGTTAGAACCCGCGACCCGCTAATGCGACGGTCTGGAGTTTCGCGACTTTCTGATCCCAAGTTCTAACCCCACCCGTGGTATGGTTAGTATTTATCTGGCCTAACCTAACTTTGCCAGTAACCCACAGACATAAAACTCTCCAGAAGTTCATCTCCTGTGACTAAACATCTTCGAAGAGCCCTAGAAGCGTCGCAACGAATTTACTCTTTAGGAAGAAGTGACGTTATATTCCAGTTCGTGAAATTAGATTTTACACTATAATAACAAAAGTAACAACATTCTTGTACAAGATACAGTTTAGTATAAATGTTAATTCGATTTTTTTTTTGCATTGTACGTTAGGATGGTGCAATTGTGGTGTAGCGTCGCGATGGTGGTAGCGGTGATGGCCGGTACTTCCGTAGCTGGTCAGGAAATGGGCGGACGGGTGAAACAGGCGGGCGTAAATGTAGGCGGAGCCGTGGGGGAAATAGGCGTGGATGTGGGCATGATGGTGGGTCAGGTGGTGGAGCACCATCTCAGTGGGTGTCACCTGGTGCTCATCACCACTACACCTCACTCGCTCATTACCACCAACATACTCAGGTGAACACTTTCTCTAAATATTTGTCTTTTTTTCCCATATGTAGAATACTAAGCTGAATGTTGAAAAAATTAGTTTAGCAAAAATTTCACACTACAATAAGTTTCAATATCCGTGTCAGGTTATTTAAGCAGAATTATCTGTCTGGAATCATGTAGCAATAATCGCTTTGCTCTGTAAGCCGCACGAAAATTACTCAGCTTTTCGTGATTAACGCATGTCGACAAATTAGACAAATGTGCAACACTTGGGTATCTTTATTGTGGCAACGTTTCGCCACACAGTGACTTCATCAGTCTGAGAGACTGATTACCTGAATCTTTGCTTGGACTGAAGTTTCTGTGTGGCAACACGTTATCAAAGATACCCAAATGCTACACATGTGTAATTTATCAAGCTGTCTGTTCTCTGAACCATTTGTATACAATATGGTCTAAATCTTCATGCAAATTACTAGAAATATAGGAACAGCAGTAGTTGTGGACATACCTTCCCTCTCTCTCTACGAGGCGCAACCTCAACGTACAATCACTCACACGAGACCAGAGCAGCCCCTCACGAGCCACAATCCAGGGAGAAGACACCATACAATCAGTCAATGAAGCACCAACCGCTTGCTCACCAAAAATCAACAGAGCGCCCCGCACTAGACCACTTACTCACAAATCTGTGGGCAGACTGGAGAACCACCTGCCGAGGTCTTATTCTCGACCTCACCTACAGCAGCAGCAGCAGCACCCAACAAGCTCTCAGGTGCTGTGTTTTCATTACTAAGCTAATGACTATTTGTACAATACGTAATTTAATTACCAGTATTAGTATAATTTGAATCTTTACATCAACTAGTACTCTTCAGCACCATCGAATCCTTAACTAAGAGTAATATCCTTTCTAACAGTATCAGAGTAATACTCTTGTTTTGGCTCTCAAATATTTATTGATCTTTCAATTAAAATTATAGGTTGTTAAAAATATTTATCTGTATAGCATGTTACCTTCACTGTGTGTATCACGACACTGGTGGATGAAATAATATAACTAGTCGACGTCACAAATAATATAGCTAGTCGACGTCACAAATAATATAACTAGTCGACGTCACAAATGATATAGCTAGTCGACGTCACAAATAATATAACTAGTCGACGTCACAAATAATATAGCTAGTCGACGTCACAAATAATATAACTAGTCGACGTCTCAAATAATATAGCTAGTCGACGTCACAAATAATATAACTAGTCGACGTCACAAATAATATAGCTAGTCGACGTCACAAATAATATAACTAGTCGACGTCACAAATAAGAGCATTAACCCTCCTACTTAAACTGCCGAGTTTGTGAATATATCAGAGTCTTGCCAATCAGTGCAATTTCCTGAGCGTTTGTGTAATCGACAAGCATCAGTACAGAACCGTAAATATTTGTATTGGTATACTATATACAGTTGCAAACCTAAATTTTGTAACAAAACTTTCTGCATGAACGATGCAAAAATGTGAAATAAATGCGGCTGCATTGCTTATGTATATTGCGAGCAACAGTCATAACGATTCAACATACATAGCTTGAATACTGTGACTCACTTACACAGTGCAAGTGTTGCTTTACTGATGTATGGATCTAAGAATTGCTGTTGACTCTGACTTTCATTTCATAATATATATATAAAGGTTGGTCCAAATATCTGGTCTGTGGCAGCTACCGGAGACTCGGGTGTTGGTGGTGGGAGAGAGAGCTGGAGTAAAGGACGTGCTTCTCCACCACTCTTTCCGCAACACGGTCCACGCCTTCTACCTGGCCCTCCACGACCTCACCCTTCACGACCTCACCCTCCACGACCTCACCCTCCAGGACCTGGCCCTTAACAACCTCGCCCTCCACCCATCATCTCGCCATCGTAACGCACGCCTCAGAAAAATCCTTCCCCGGGAAGGTCAGTAGATGCCAGCAACTTATTCCATTAAATATTATTTTTAATAATATTTCGACATAATTCGATCTATTTTGTCTGTTCTTTTTTATTAGTGAATCTAATGTCTTTCTTCCCACTACCCTGAGCAACAGCAGTGTCAGGAGGCGTGTGGGTGTATCAACGGTGTCTGTATTGCAACAACGGAGAACAAGATGCCCGACTGTTCCACCAAGGAAGCTCGACTTCAGTCACCCAGATATTTGACAACGTCTTCCAAGGTCAAGTGTAAACATTAAGTGATATAATTCCTAACATTATTTATTTACAGAAACATAATTAATATTGATAATCAGTTTGTGTAATTATAATCTGAAACATGAGGCTTCTCCAGCATACGGAAGAGAGGCTGCAGTGTCTTGAATTTCAAGGGTACCGTGATTCAGTGAATGGTTGGTTGGGTGGGTATGGTACGCAGAATATTTGTAGGGTGAGTGTGTTGCATTTCGCAGAATGTTCTTTAATGTTTCTGCAATATGCTCATGATTCTTATATATACACATATTATTATTGTGAGTATTAAATGATAGTTCATGAGCGACAGTTGTATGTCGTTGATTATATTTTGTTTTGCAATCTTTCCTGTGGGTGGATTGTTTTGAACATGTGATCCAGTCTTGTTTTATGTTGGCGCCTATTGTATTCTGTTGTTAACAGGATCTAGGGAAACACATGAGCTTACATCTCGGAGTTTTTGTCTGTTGTGTAATTTTGGGTGGGTTTTGTGTTGAGTGCTGTTATTCAGTGTATGTATTTTGTGTTGTGTTTATTGTGTTATAACGAGTGTGGATAATTTATTTTTAATTTCCAGTAAGTCTTATAGTATGTTAGCATATTCTTTTCACTTTTTTGTACGTTTAAAATTATCACTTTCTATTATATGTATCTAACTTTTTAAATAAAAAAAAATCCCGTTTCAGTGATAAAGGTGTCCTTGATACTTTTTAACCTAATAATCCAGTTAGCAAGAAAAAATAATTTAATCCACTAAACAGCGAATAAATCCTCCACTTACAGAAAGCTCTCAAGATTTTATGGGTCGTAAGATGAGAGTGGTGACAGCGGTACCATACTTCCCCTACGTGGACTACAAGGTGGGCAGGGAGGCTGCGGGTCCTGTGATGCTGCTAGACTCTCTGGATGCTCGGATTATCCAAACCTTCGCAGCCAAGCTTAACTTCACGTGAGTCTTCGCTAATCAAACCACAGAACAGGGGGGAAGGGGGTTGCACCATGGCAGGTTAAGTTTAAAGCTCACAGGCCAATGTGCTAACTACTGGTCCATGCCGACTTAACGAGACTCATCCAACTAAGTATACTGTTAGACAGCATAGGAATGTTGGCATGGGGCCATGTATCATTCATATGCCAATAACAAGGGTACTAGACAAAATTTCCTCACAGAGCAGAAGACACGACATTCAGGAGGTAGTGTGTGTGTGTGTGTGTGTGTGTGTGTGTGTGTGTGTGTGTGTGTGTGTGTGTGTGTGTGTGTGTGTGTGTGTGTGTTTGTGTGTTTGTGTGTGTTGTCGTGCATCTGTTGCTAATGCAATAAATAAACACAGAAATATCACACCATAACGCAATTCCTTATCATCACAAACTGGAGCTTTTAACCTTGCCAAACTAACCAGCAGCTTTGAAGTCTACGTGGATCCCGATCAGTCGTGGGGCGAGGAGAGGAACGGCATCTTCAGCGGAATGATGGGGATGCTACAGCGAGAGGTGATGGATATCTGCACTATATCTGGACCGACCTCTAAGCGACTTAGAGTTATAAATTATCTTAAGGGTTACCCTTCCGACCCCATGTCAGTGACCTCTCTCAAGCCCACACTGCTGCCCAAATACCTCGCTTTTATACGGCCTTTTAAAGGTATAATTAGCACAAGCCTTTTCTACCCATCATCCTAACCAAAGTCGGTACTTTAATACACTTTGGAGGTTATTTAACATGTGTGTGTGTGTGTGTGTGTGTGTGTGTGTGTGTGTGTGCACTCACCTATTTGTACTCACCTATTTGTGGTTGCAGGGGTCGAGTCTTAGCTCCTGGCCCCGCCTCTTCACCGGTTGCTACTGGGCCCTCTCTCTCCCTGCTCCATGAGCTTTATCAAACCTCGTCTTAAAACTGTGTATGGTTCTTGCCTCCACTACGTCATTTTCTAGGCTATTCCACTGCCTGACAACTCTATGACTGAAGAAATACTTCCTAATATCTCTCTGACTCCCAATTATGACCTCTTGTTTCTGTGTCCCCTCTCTGGAACATCCTGTCTTTGTCCACCTTGTCTATTCCGCGCAGTATTTTATATGTCGTTATCATGTCTCCCCTGACCTTCCTGTCCTCCAGTGTCGTCAGGCCGATTTCCCTTAACCTTTCTTCATAGGACATTCCCCTTAGCTCTGGAACTAACCTTGTCGCAAACCTTTGTACTTTCTCTAGTTTCTTGACGTGCTTTATCAAGTGCGGGTTCCAAACAGGTGCTGCATACTCCAGTATGGGCCTGACATACACGGTGTACAGTGTCTTGAACGATTCCTTACTAAGGTATCGGAACGCTGTTCTCAGGTTTGCCAGGCGCCCATATGCTGCATCAGTTATCTGGTTGATGTGTGCTTCCGGAGACATGCTCGGTGTTATACTCAACCCAAGATCTTTCTCCTTGAGTGAGGTTTGCAGTCTTTGGCCACCTAGCCTATACTCTGTCTGCGGTCTTCTGTGCCCTTCCCCTATCTTCATGACTTTGCATTTGGCGGAATTAAATTCGACAAGCCATTTGCTGGACCAGGTGTCCAGTCTGTCCAGGTCTCTTTGAAGTCCTGCCTGGTCCTCCTCTGATTTAATTCTCCTCATTAACTTCACATCATCTGCAAACAGGGACACTTCTGAGTCTAACCCTTCCATCACGTCGTTCACATATACCAAAAATAGCACTGGTCCTAGGACCGACCCCTGTGGGACCCCGCTCGTCACAAGTGCCCACTGTGATACATCATTACGTACCATGACTCGTTGTTGCTTCCCTGTCAGGTATTCTCTGATCCATTGCAGTGCCCTTCCTGTTATATGCGCCTGATCCTCTAGCTTCTGCACTAATATCTTGTGAGGAACTGTGTCAAAGGCCTTCTTGCAGTCCAAGAAGATGCAATCAACCCACCCCTCTTTCTCGTGTCTTACTTCTGTTACTTTATCATAAAACTCCAGAAGGTTTGTGACACAGGATTTGCCTTCCATGAATCCGAGCTGGTTGGCATTTATACTCTTGTTCCGTTCCAGGTGTTCCACCACTCTCCTCCTGATAATCTTCTCCATAACTTTGCATACTATACAGGTCAATGACACAGGTCTATAGTTTAGTGCCTCTTTTCTGTCTCCATTTTTAAAAATGGGAACTACATTTGCCGTCTTCCATACCTCAGGTAGTTGCCCAGTTTCCAGGGACGTGTTGAAGATTGTGGTAAGTGGCACGCACAGCATATCCGCTCCCTCTCTAAGGACCCACGGGGAGATGTTGTCCGGTCCCATTGCCTTTGAGGTATCTATGTCTCTTAGCAGTTTCTTCACCTCCTCCTCATCTGTATGTATGTCGTCCAACACTTGTTGGTGTATTCCTTGTTGGTGTCCCCATCTGGTCTGTCCCCCCAGAGGCCTTCCTGTCTCCACTGTAAATACTTCCTTAAATCTCATGTTGAGCTCCTCACATACCTCTTGATCGTTTCTTGTGAGTTCTTCACCTTCTTTCCTCAGCCTGATTACCTGGTATTTGACTGTTGTCTTCCTCCTAATGTGGCTATACAGCAGTTTCGGGTCAGATTTGACTTTCGATGCTATGTCGTTTTCGTACTGTCGCTGGGCCTCCCTCCTTATCTGTGCATACTCGTTTCTGGCTCTTCTACTAATCTCCTTATTTTCCTGGGTCCTATGCCTCCTGTACCTTTTCCATTCTCTGTTGCACTTAGTTTTTGCCTCCCTACACCTTCGGGTAAACCAAGGACTAGTTTTGGTCTTCCTATTATTTCTGTTTCCCTTGGGAACAAAGCTTTCCTCTGCCTCCTTGCACTTTGTTGCCACATATTCCATCATCTCGTTTACTGATTTTCCTGCCATTTCTCTGTCCCACTGAACCTCCTGCAGGAAGTTTCTCATACCTGTGTTGTCCCCCCTTTTATAGTTTGGCCTGTCCCTTTCAGTTCCTGTTACCTTCTCCACTTGTAACTCTACTATATAATCAAAACTCAGAACCACGTGTGCGTGTCTGTGTGTGCGAATATTACTTAATATTATCTAACCTAATAGAATAAGGGACAGACTAAAAGCTGCTTTAATTATTTGAAGGATCAATAAGAACATTTTATTTACAAAAATAAACGTTTATCTCTCTCTACTTCCAATAATTTTAATTTTTTACTTTAAATGTTATTTTTAGTTTAGCTATTGTTCATTAATAGTACCTAGACACGGGTAGGAGTGTTTCCTAGTTACATATGTACTAATGATCAATTGTTCGCGTTATGATCAGCTGTTTGTGTACCTGGGCAGTTCTAAATAGCTGGTTTATTATCGTGAATTATGAGTAAATATATTTGCTGGTACGTCTCTCCTGCAGGAGAACTGTGGCTGGCGCTGCTGGTGAGCGTAGTGTCGTGGGGCGTCGTGTTGTGGCTGTTGCAGAGGGCTTGGCGGTGGATGGTTGGTGGGAAGGGGGTGAGGCTCCACACTGCCCTATTGTACAGCATGGGCACCCTGCTTGAACAGCAGCCTCCTGACCCCTCCGTCAGCCTTGCTGGTCAGGTCAGAGACTCGATGTGATAATTAAAATTTGTAATAGCAAGATTCAACATATAGATTAATTGATTCAGTGCACACACAAACACACACACACACAACCTAGGTAGTAGGTTGGTAGACAGCAACCATCCAGGGAGGTACTACCGTCCTGTGGTAGTAGGTTGGTAGACAGCATTCATCCAGGGAGGTACTACCGTCCTGTGGTAGTAGGTTGGTAGACAGCAACCATCCAGGGAGGTACTACCGTCCTGTGGTAGTAGGTTGGTAGCCAGCAACCACCCAGGGAGGTACTACCGTCCTGTGGTAGTAGGTTGGTAGACAGCAACCATCCAGGGAGGTACTACCGTCCTGTGGTAGTAGGTTGGTAGACAGCATCCACCCAGGGAGGTACTACCGTCCTGTGGTAGTAGGTTGGTAGACAGCAACCATCCAGGGAGGTACTACCGTCCTGTGGTAGTAGGTTGGAAGACAGCAACCACCCAGGGAGGTACTACCGTCCTGTGGTAGTAGGTTGGTAGCCAGCAGCCATCCAGGAAGGTACTACCGTCCTGTGGTAGTAGGTTGGTAGACAGCAACCATCCAGGGAGGTACTACCGTCCTGTGGTAGTAGGTTGGTAGACAGCAACCATCCAGGGAGGTACTACCCTCCTGTTCTAGTAGGTTGGTAAACAGCAACCACTCAGGGAGGAACCCCATCCTGCCAAAGTGAGTGTGAAACGGAAACCTTGTAGGATTGCTGGTGTCTTTTTTCTGTCTCATAAACATGCGGGATAACAGGTATATCTTGCTACTTCTACTTACATTTAGCTCACACTTCACATGCATGTACACTCATATATATATATATATATATATATATATATATATATATATATATATATATATATATGTGTGTGTGTGTGTGTGTGTGTGTGTGTGTGTGTGTGTGTGTGTGTGTGTGTGTGTGTGTGTGTGTGTGTGTGTGTGTGTGTGTGTCGTGCCGAATATGTAAAACTGGTCAATTAGCAAGAACTCATTTAAAATTAAGTCCTTTCTAAAATTTTCTCTTATACGTTTAAAGATATATTTTTTTCATTAATGTTGATGTAAAAATTTATAATTTTGCACCAAAAGAATCTTAAAAAACTTACCTAACCTTATTATAACAAGAACAATTTATTTTAGCCTAACCCAACTAAATATATTTTAGATTTGTTTACAATAATTTAATGCTAAACAAACACAGTGAAATATATTTTTTTCGTTAGGTTCAGAATGATTTTGGCGAAATTATTGCATACACAAATTTTCACTTGTCCTATATGGCAAGATGAGCGTTGCTATTTAAGCCAAGATCGCAAATTCTGCCTATTCGGCACGACATATATATATATATATATATATATATATATATATATATATATATATATATATATATATATATATATATATATATATGTATACACCCATCTCGGCTTTCTTCTATTTTCTTAATAGTAATTAAGAAAATAGAAGAAAACCCTTTATTTCCTCTTATTTCCATGGGGAAGTGTAAAAGAAATCTTCCTCCGTAAGTCATGCGTGTTATGAGGCAACTAAAGTGCCGGGAGCAAGGGGCTAATAACCCCTTCTTCTGTATAAATTACAAAATTTAAAATGAAAAACTTTCGTTTTTGGGTCACCCTGCCTCGCTAGGATACGGCTTTTCATTGATTATATATGCACACATACATACATATATATACATATGCATAACATTTGTTTTATTTTTTATATGTGTACAGGTGTTAGTGGGGTGGTGGCTAGTGTTCTGTCTGATAATTACTACAGGCTTCCGGTCATCACTGATGGCTCACCTTACCGTCCAAGGAATGTCACACCCGCTGGACAGTTTCGAGGATTTGGTGAAGCTGCCAGGCAGGAAATGGGGCACTGAGGCTTGGGAGCTAACAGAAGCAGTTGTTGATTTCTTTGCCAAGCATCCCGATCCTGTGGTTCAGCATATTTATCATAAAATGGAGGCAAGTATTATTATACACAATGCTGTTGCATTCGTCAGGAGAAACAACAAATCTCTTGACACGGGTCTTCAGTGTGCGGTGATCCGTTTCGTGGCATCTTGGCCCTATATAATGGACTATTCTCGTTGGTGTCTGTCAGCAGTGATGTGAATATGGTAGCAGATGGTTCTGTGGCTAGTCATGGCAGCAGAGTTACAAAAGACATTGAGAGGGCGAAGGAGGAGGGGGAGGTTGCAGTTCGAAAACCAAGACAGCTGTTGTATGAATAATGGTGAATGTTCTCGACGTTGGTGGGAGACTGCTGGTGTCGTAAAAAATATATATAATATCCTGTTTTTTCTGCATTCTTTTACAAACATATTGTTTTGACTAATCAATGTTATTTTTACTCGAAGCCTCAAAGATCTCTTTGAATAATAAATCAAATTCGTCATTATTCTAACTTTTGTTTACTAGGTGATGCCAATGGATGTGGGCCTGAAGAGGGTGCTGGCGGGTGGATTTTCCATCATCAGTTTTAAGAACTACATCAATGTTATCGTGGGATCTCGCTACACGGATGCCTATGGTAACACTCCCTTCTATACCAGCAAGAACGCCGTTCCTATTTTAGCTGCGTTTGGGTGGGGTATCAGGCGAGTATTCTCCGCTAATGATACTAGTCATTTGCAAGCACTGCTCTGAATATTCTTTTACAATAGATTTTTAAATTTATAGACGTGTTTAGGTCTGACATGGAATAATTTTCTGTATGATTATGTGAAGGGGACATCTAATACTAAGTTCACTGAGTATTAATTTTTACGGATTTCTCATTTATCGTATGCTAAATAATATTTATAGGATGTGGAAAATACGCTGAAATATAGACACTTAAGTTTACATGAAATAAGATTCCGCAACTTAGTGAAAGTAAATTGTTTTAGCATCACTTTCTTACTACATACATGAAGTTAATAAATTGAATCCCTGGACTCGTTAACTCAATAAATTATTCTAACACATACTGTATATGCTTTAATAATCCATAGAAAGGGTGCTCCATTTTACCAGCGATTCACAGAACTAATAACCCACCTGGATGATGCTGCTATCATCAGTTACTGGACTGATGATTTAATATCCAGAAAAACGAGGGAGGAGAGAAACTCTGCTCCACTGGACCCAAAGACCAACACTGGAGATGCTTTTCAGGTAGTTGCCGTTAAATGTTGTATCGTGATGTTAATTCAAAAGATATTACTTTGAAAATAAAAAGTTGTGCAAAATTATATTATGTGTTATTATGTTTAATATTAGCGTTTGCGAGATGTGTCTGTAACTTACCGTAACAGGCAGTTACGACTTGTGTTACGTGTTTTTATGACGTTATGTAACGTACATTTGTTATTTACCGCAATACATGTTAATGTTTCTAAGGGTGAAGATAAGGAGGTGGTGCTGACAATGAACCACCTGCAGGGTGCCTTCTACCTGCTGCTGGTGGGCTCCGGAGTGGCCTTCCTCACCCTGCTGGGGGAGAACCTCACCCACTGGAGGCGCTCCTCACTTCAGTAACCACCTTCCCAGCATCACTAGACCTCAGGCCAAGGATGACAGTGCTGTCAGTGCAGCAGATTCATCCTAGAGCTATCAGACATATATTTCTGCAGTCGAGAATGACGTTTAATTTTTCCCAATATAATTTTTTAAATATTTTATCAAGACTTATGAAAAAGAACTGCGACGTATTTTTATTCCCAGATTTATTATCCATGAATAATTATGCTCTACGATGTCACCTGGATTGACTATATGACTTCGATGAGAGAAAAATAGATTCATCAGACAGCAATAGTGGTTGAGGAAAAAAATAGCAGTTGCAAAGTTTATGGAGGCTGGTGCAACATGTTGCAGAAATTACAGGTTTTCCCATTATAAAATAATAAAATAATATAATAGGTAATTGCCCCCCACACACGCACAGTCGTGCTGCCTCCGCCGGGTATAAATACTTCTCACCATGGGCGGAGCTCATTCAGGGGAACAACTGCAAGACGCACATATTGTCACAGAGAAGAGTCTGCCACAGAAAATCTGCCACGGAGAATTGTCTGCCACACAACATGGTCATCTCTCTTAAGGTACACTGCTCCCAAACATGTTGCATATTTTGTTTTCGTGTCCTGCATAACAAAAGTAAAGTGTTATCATTAGTGTGTTGGAGAAGAGACTTTTATTTATATATACATATCACAAATACGTGTTTTCTAGATTATTATAGAGGTAAAGAGGTGTTAGGCTCTCCAGGTCATTTTGAAGCCTCTCCCAGTGAATATCATTTAACGTATACGTTATGTACTTAATTTTAACAAATTTGTGAGTTATATACTTATATAGGGAAGATGCAGCTCTTTGTTAACTAAAGGTTTTTATGTAAAGGTGGTTTAATTTGTCGACTCCATCACTGACTTCAACACTGTCTCCAACATTGTCTCCAACATTGTCCTCGAAACTCTCTCCATCAATGTCTTTTTTCTAAATTTTTTAAAGTACGTAAGCTGAGAAAAATCAAACTTGATCGTAACTAACTCTGTCTGACTATATTTTAACAGTATAACTCACAAACAGATCTGTTTGTGACTTGATAAAGCCCACTGTGTGGGCGAAACGTTATACACTGTGTGGGGAAAACGTTATCACTGCATTTATGTGTTTATCCCCAGTATTGTTATTCTACGTCATTTCCCTCCAGCCTTGCAAACTCCATAGCATTAGTGATGTGTACATCCGGTTATATATGTTACGTTTCTCTCTGCTTTAGCCTCTGTAACCCTAGTTAGTATTACGCATTTGTCATGTTTTTTCTTCACAGATTTTTATAAACTTACTCTTGTGACTGAAGCAAAACAGCTGCCTGTTCGACCACTTCTGAGGTCTGTCGAGGTCTTGTAGTTTTTCTCTGTCTTCTTCCGTGTTATTCATCATTAGTTTTATACCATCTGCAAACAGATGTATATAGATCTGTCTCATTACTGATGCTCTGGATGTGACACAGTTGGAGGCTTTTATCTCTAGTAGCGGAATATTAGTTAAAATATCTATAAGGAACAGCCCCCATTCTATAATTTATACCAGAGAGGTGACAAAAGTGAACCCAGTGAATTTGACATATTCATGTCACTTGACGTTGATAGTACTTCAGATCACCAGTTAACTGCGGAAAACTTGCAATTGCAACAATGCAATAAAGGGATCACTTATCTCGACGATCCAGCTGCAACTAAGAAATAACTTAATTTCACTTTGTGAAGCCAAACCATAAGCATAAAAAAAGTGTTGATAAACAGTTGCTGTAAAAATGTTAATATGAAGTACGTTCCTTTGTCATTGTTTTAATTACGCATTTTAATAACTTTTGTAGCCTAAGAAACATAACAAAGTTTGTACTTTCATCTTCTATGATACAATTACCGATGGATCGTCAGCAACTAACTTTGATTAGTAGACGGAGGTTCAAGCCTCCAGAACTTCCTTTCGCTCAATGAGAAGCACAGAAAATGATTATTTCTTTTTTAAAAAATAGCAAATCACAACTCATCTGCATGACAAATACCCTTCAACAAAAGTGCCTTAATGATGGTATAAGTTTCTTAACTTAATGAAGCAACCATCCTCTTCCTCGCATCAAACCCGATTGCCTAGAATGCCCAAGGCGCTGTATGGGTATATGAGTAATGTTTAATCCTTTCTAACAAGTCTGGAAAATTAAAACACAAAGTCAATACTCAGAGAATAAAAATCCCGAAAAAAAAAATTTCCCTTAAAATTGCCAAGATAGTGACTTTCAAAATAATATCTGATACAAAAGAAAAAAAAACAGGTTTTTAATTAAAGAGTTAAAACAACTATTTGTTTAACAATGAATAAATGCGTCACATTTCAGTTCAACAGAACCGGTCTACTGAGGCGGAAACATTCCAGGAAAACGTCTGTCACAATATGACCGAACCCAAGCTGTGATTCTTTATCTCGACGGTGTGACAGCGCGAGACATTTCTCTGAAATATCAAGTTAGTATCTCCACTGTTTATAGATGTATAAAACAGTGGAATAACAGAAGAAGAGTGACAGCGAGCTACCACAGAGAGCTGCCTCACAGGTACTGGTATCAGCCTCTGCCTCTACACGACAACGGAAGCTGTCGCATTTTTCTCATCTTTCTCAAAATCTACATCTCCGTCGCAGCTCAAAATTTGTAGAATATTACTGGCAAATTATTATGAAATATTATTTACAACTTTTCTCCCGTAATATTTATGAAAGAATTTCTCAGCAATGAACATGTTTCTCATCAAATTTATTAAATGTATAAAATATATTTGTCAAAATAGTTATTAATGTAAATATATATGAAGCTTGAATGTAAACACAACTGTGTTTACATTTCCTTGACGTGTTTCCTACCAGCCAAAGATTTGTGAATTTTTACGATTTTTTTCTGGATACCAAACAATTCTTCAGACGTGTGTTTGTATTGTTGCTGGTGATGAGTTCTTGATCCTGGAAGCTGGAGCTACTTTTCGCTTCTATTGATTATTGTCGTAATAAAAATGAGGAAAAACGCATTTCCTTTGTTGTCCTGAGATTTATAGACTTAGCAAACGAGGTTAATAAGAAGAATCTAATATCGTTCCATAGTGAGAGGATTTAGAAAGGATTCAATACTTCGTACCGACGACGACCGATAATCTCAGTCTCTTCTGTTACTCTATTATTGTACATTAAAATCATAACTAAGCCCTAAACCCATAAGGAAAATACAGTATTGTTATTGTAGACAAGTAGGGTAACAATTTTATTTTCCCACGAATAACATTGACTTCCTGGCTGTCCTCTACATTTTAAACCAGATTTTAATAGGTGGTAAACAAATGATTCGTTTATTTCTTCAGTTAAAAGCATCCTAACGTTCAGAGACAAAAAAAATGTAAAGAAAAACGTTACCAATTCTGGATGTTAGCTCTAAAATAAGTACAGAATGTTTCTAGTTCTGTGGTCTACACAGAAAGAAACACCAATCATATATAATGAATTTTTCTAGGTAAGGAATGTGCCAATTGGAGCTTACCTAGCAGTGTTGATATCGGCGTTGACCAACTGTACACTCATAGCAGTTGAGCAAGTGAGCGTGATGGTGGGTCAGGTGGTGGAGCAGGTGGGCGTGATGGTGGGTCAGGTAGTGGACCACCATCTCAGTGGGTGTCACCTGGTGCTCATCACCACTACACAACACTCACTCATTACCTCCAGTATAATCAGGTGACATTTCCGGAAAATTCTGTTCCTCCAGCTGCTGGCCTGTTAAATTATTTTGGTAAATGTTGGGGTAAAGTTAAATTAAATTTTGCATTAAAAATTGCGATATTTTAGGTTAATAATGTATTTTTAAAGTTAATAGTGTAAACAGCTGTTGGTGAACGACTGTGAGCAGACAAATGCTAGACAAAGCTGTCGTAACTATTGAAAATGCTCCCTTATTTTTTGAGATTATCCTCATTGTAGGTTCTTGCATAATTGATCACAATCTCCGGACCGTTTTCTCCATAAAGAAATGTTTTATTAAGATTCCCAGATATTCTGTTTTAAGGTGTGGCACCTTAAAGGGTCTACCTATTTGGTTTGCAGATTAATCATTTACAGTTAACTAGTTTCAGTGTGGTAATATATATATATATATATATATATATATATATATATATATATATATATATATATATATATATATATATATATAATATATATATATATGTGTGCAAAACAACCACTTTGAAAGAATAGAGAAATTCCAAGCGCTTTCGTGACTACTCACATTATCAAGGAACTATGAAAGTAAAGCATCCAAGAAAGCTATATAAGGGGTCTGGCCAACACCTCACTATCAGATCCCACAACGGTTAAACACCTGACGCTCGCCGGCTCAACTGGACAGGTCCTTTGCACAACTCACCAACAAACTATTCTACCCAAGAAAATTTAAAAATTATTATTTGTCCAGTGTATTAATAAATTCTTCCCAAATTCTATTAATTATAAATGGATCTAATTTATATAAACCAAAGGAAATATTCATATTATTGTCAAAACTGCTTTTTATGAAACAAGATTCAATTATATTCCTGTCGACCATGGACTTGCTTGATACTACTTTCTCAACTTCATTGTTTACGAAAGTTCCTGTTGATGATTTATTAAGTTTCTTATCTGAAGAACTCGTTAACTATGATTTACCATTGCCAGTTCCTACTATCATTAAACTTATTAAACTTTGCATTGTTGATGCAAAATTTGTATTTAATGATAAGTTTTACACTCAGAAGTTTGGTACGGCAATGGGAAATCCTCTTTCATCTGTTCTTAGTAACCTATACATGGAATTTTTTGAAACAAGGTTGCTTAACAGAATCCTCCCTAATAGAGCTAAATGGTTCAGATATGTTGATGATATTTTGTGTCTTATGCCCAAAAATGTAGATATGCACCATTTCCTTGGAAAATTAAATAACTTAGCCCATTCTATAAACTTTACTGTTGAGTTTGAAGAAAATAACTCATTGCCTTTTTTAGATGTTTTAGTTATTAAGGGTAATAATGAATTCAAATTTAAAATTTACAGAAAACCTACAAATAACTGTTCCTATGTCCACTATTATTCCTCGCATCAAGATAGAGTCAAACTGTCTGTTTTCTCATCAATGTTTTTGAGAGCTTTACGAATTTGTAGTTCTGAGTTCATAGATGAGGAAATATCCAAAATTTATGAAATAGGTAATGATTTAAAATACCCAAGAAATGTAATTGATAAATCTTTTAAAGTTGCTAGAAATACTTTTTACAATCCAAAAAGGGACAACCTGCCTTATTCAACTAAAAATATGTTGGTTCTCCCTTACCACGAAAACTTGGTTGATATGCCTTCTCTTCTTAAGACTTTTAATATTAAAGTTGTATTCAAAAATCTTGATACAGTAAAAAAACTTTTGATAAAGAATTCCCCCCAAAATGCTGATGGATGTGTCTATAAGATTCCTTGTAAAATTTGCGATAAAGTTTATTACGGTCAAACTGGTAAAAATCTCGAACTCAGATTAAAACAACATAAATATAGCATTAGAACTGGACAAGATTCCAATGCTCTATTTATTCATGTAAGAGATTTTAACCATCCAATTGATTTTCAAAAAGTTGAGAAAGTAGTATCAAGCAAGTCCATGGTCGACAGGAATATAATTGAATCTTGTTTCATAAAAAGCAGTTTTGACAATAATATGAATATTTCCTTTGGTTTATATAAATTAGATCCATTTATAATTAATAGAATTTGGGAAGAATTTATTAATACACTGGACAAATAATAATTTTTAAATTTTCTTGGGTAGAATAGTTTGTTGGTGAGTTGTGCAAAGGACCTGTCCAGTTGAGCCGGCGCGCGTCAGGTGTTTAACCGTTGTGGGATCTGATAGTGAGGTGTTGGCCAGACCCCTTATATAGCTTCCTTGGATGCTTTACTTTCATAGTTCCTTGAAAATGTGAGTAGTCACGAAAGCGCTTGGAATTTCTCTATTCTTTCTGAGTGGTTGTATTGCATATTCTGAAATCACCTGTTTACTGTGATCTTATTGCATATATATATATATATATATATATATATATATATATATATATATATATATATATATATATATATATATATATATATATATATATATATATATAGAGAGAGAGAGAGAGAGAGAGAGAGAGATAATAGATATTTGTGTTCATCAGACGCCTGAGTGAGGGTGTGGAGGCTGGCGTGGTAGTGGAGGTAGGCTGGGAATATTCCCAGGACCAGCTGGCCCAGGACCAACTCCAGCAGGGTGTCTGGGGCGACTCTAAGACCACCTGCCGGGGTCTCATACTCGACCTCACCAACACCAACAATACTCATTCTGCCTTAAGGTAACGTTTTCACTGATACTAAAATCCGGAGCTGAAGTTGTCTGGTTCAGTATAAGGACGACACAACTTGTACTGTCTGGCTTGTTGTTGTTGTAATTTAGTGTAACTCACACTTTCACATACCTATATTTGTTTTACATAATGAAATTAGCTTTCGCATGGATATAATATAATAGCTGCACAAACCTTGGATATTTTATCAATGACATTTTCTATTTTATGAATCATTTGCCTTAGAAATTTGACGTCTACTCTTGTTTCCACTATAAAAATGACAGGATCTAATGACAAAAATTCCTTAAATCCCTGTTTAAGCCCCACATATAACTGTTACTTCTGATAATATTTCGTAGGTTTCTTGAGAAAGCTGAACTGTGGAAGTTACCTGAGACTCTGGTGGTGGTGGTGGGAAGGAGAACTGGAGTGAAGGAAGTTCTCCTTCGTCACAGCTTCCGTAATACTATCCACGCCCTCTACCTGACCCTCCACGACCTCACCCTTGACGCATCACGACCCCGTAACTCACATCTCGGAAAGTCTCGTGTACTAGGAGGTCCGTACGTGTTCAGTGTGGCTAATTATCAAGAATAAAGTGTGTCCTTTATAAATTTTCACTTAGAAATTAAGATAACAGAGCGAAGATTTTGCAGCATACCATTTCCTGTAAAGACACATTATGCAGAGCAAACTTTGTTTGGGACGTTTTGCTCAGAGTTGAGCTTCGTCAACCCTGTGCAAGACGTAGTCCTGTTAAAATTCCGGCGCCATAGCCAGGTCCAGACACTCACAGCTTTCTTGTCGTATTTCATAGGTTTGAAGCAACAGTTACACATACAATGCTGTAAAAATCTTAAATCTTTTTCTGCATAATGTTGGCATTGTGCCTTTAAATCCATTTCCTGCTAAGATTTAAAACTTACGACCTGGAAAACATGTTAGTGCATCAAAATTATCTTGATATATATTAAAAAAAATACTGTTGCATTTTTATACACACGAATATATATATATATATATATATATATATATATATATATATATATATATATATATATATATATATATATATATATATATATATAATATATATATTATATATTGTACAATTATATTTATTAGCGAGTGGAGGTGTGTTGGTGTACCGGAGGTGTCTGTACTGCAACAGAGGTGAGGCTGATGTCCAACTCCTCCACCTGTGGAACCTCACCTCACTTACACAATCCATGAGTGACATATTTCAAGGCAAGAGTTGGTTGGTTGGGTTATTTGGTTTAAAGACTAGCGACTACACGATACCCGTGAAAGCTTCATGTAACCTGCACCCCATCACTAGAGCATATAAGCCATAACCTAGGAATAAAAACAGATTTAAATACTGTACAAAAATACGATGGTTGTGGTGAAGACCTTTATTTTATATTTATAAACATTTCGGAGCGTCAGACCCCATAATTCAGAATTATATAATAAAGTACTGATACATGTTTTCCTCACGTTCTCGCATCACCGTAACCGTTCAGAGTCGCATTACAATGTTACACTAATTACTTTAATGCTTCTTCACGCTCAAATTGCTCTAAAATATACACTGAAATCATTACATAGTTCACGCACTGGTCGCTGTTGCCCAGCGGTGAGAGTATTGACTCTCATTGCTGAGGTCCAGGTAATAAACCCTGGGCATTAACATAACATACATAGTTAAACTATATTCAAGTTCTTCACTAACAAACAATATTCCTTATATTCTAAAACTTGTATCATATTAACAACACACACTTCAAAATCCTGACACACGGGTCACTACCCCAAAACATACACTCATTACCCTAAAGATTTACACTCTTGTCATCTAACAAAACATTCACATCACCCAACAAAATCAACTTGCATAAACCAAATCAACATCACTGAAAAAATATGTTTTTATTTCGACTTTATTATAAGACGACAATGTTGGTGATCTGACTGATGTTGAGTATCACATGTAACATGTCGTCTTATTTCTTACGTGTTTCTTTAACAGGACAGTTTCAAAACTTCTGGGGCAATAAGATGAAGTTTTCAACTATTGTTTACTTTCCATACACGGATTACACGCTGGACCATGCTGAACCAGGCAGCACAGTGTCCCTCAACGATGGTCTTGATGCTAGACTTCTGTCTCTCTTCGCTAAAACACTCAATATTAGGTCGATTTCTCTTTTTCTTTCGTGTAAATTGCGTGAATGACTGAACTGCAAAGTAAAAATGACATAACTTTTGTTAAATCTAAAATAACGAAAGCTGAAAATATGATGTATCTTTTCATATGCGCTGCATGACCCCTACGGGCCTAGCGCTTCCCCGTAAATATGATAATAAATAAATGTTTCTTCAATCCTTTCGAATTCGGTGTACATACGGGAAAATATTCTGATGCTATTCTAAATCCTTAAAAACGTAACTAGATATACGTTCATATATTTTATCTCCCTCTCAAAAGCTTTGAGATTCGCGAGCAGCCTGAGAGATCTTACGGTGTTCAGAAGAATGGCCGCTTCACTGGCATGGTGGGACAACTGCAGCGGGAAGAGATAGACATTGGTGGACCAATGGCAACACTCGCTGAGCGGATCCCGCCGATGGAATTCTTGTGCGCGTACGAAGTCGACTCGCTGGCCATCGTGTCTCTGAAGCCCACACTCTTGCCACAACTCCTCTCGCTGTTTAAACCTTTTGCAAGTAAGTACTTCTTAGTTGCTAAAGTCACAAGCAGGAATTAGAAAGTTTAATATGTAGTAAGAATGATTTTTCCTGAGTGACAGTAGTAAGCATACCAGCCATAGCTTTCCTATATGATATAAGCTCTAATTACACTCTCCTTTCTCCAGGAGAACTGTGGTTGGGATTGCTGGTGAGTGTGATGGTGTGGAGCGGGATCCTATGGTTGCTGCAGGAAGTATGGTGGTGGATCACAGGGACAAACAGAGTCAGCATCATCACCATCCTTCTGTATGGCTGGGGCGCTCTCCTGGCCAACCTGCCCTCAGACCCTTCAGTCAATAAAGCAGGAAAAGTAAAATTGTCCAACTTTCTCAAAGTTGTTTTCATAACGCCTTACATAAGACACAACTGTTTAGATTATTGGTATACTATTATCTTTTAAATCTGATTACAGTGAAATGGTTGATACATAAATTAATCTAACTAAATCGCAAATTAAACTCTGATTTCTTACAGCTTTTCATCTTTTTCACTGGAAAATTAGAAAATTATTAGAGAATTAAATATATTCAAAAGAATTAATTCTAATAGGTTAGGTTAGGCGCCGACTAGAAAGAAACATAAATCAGTTTTGCTTCTACTTTTTGCAGGTGTTGGTGGGCGTGTGGCTGATGTTCTGTCTAGTCATAACCACTGGATACAGTTCTTCACTAGTCGCCCATTTATCAGTCCAGGAGAAGACTAAACCCCCGGAAAGCTTCGAGGACCTGGTGACTCGGAACAACTGGAAGTGGGGCATTGAGTCCTGGGTGCTGCAGGGAGGGGTGTTACTCTATTTCTCAGAGCATACGGACCCAGTTATACAAAAAGTATATAAGAAAATAGAGGTCAGTATTCAGAATTTATTAATAACTAAATATGAATATGAAGAAAAGAAAATCATTGCAGATTCATAGAAATTAACTTATCCTAATTGTGGTATATAGTTCTGGCAATATTAAAGTAATTTATTGATTCCTTTGAAGACAACAATACCTCAGAAAGCCTATGAAATGTTTAGCTTTGACAATAATTTCAGCATAATCGATGGAAGAATGCGAGATTACAAGTAGCTTTTGCCAAACACTTACGTACCACACTCAATGAATTATAAAAAGTAACAACACACATAGCAATAAGTAGGTACTGTACACTGGTGTTTGCTGGCTGTCATGGGTCGAAGTCCAGGTAATATAGCTTAGGGCTGGGCTTTGAAATTTCTGCTTGTAAATTCAACATCGACGATGTTCTGTAAAACATCTTCCATAAAACCAACTTTTAGACAAAATATTGCATGAAACATCCTGATAAAATGGGGATATATTTTTCTTCTTCGCTACAAGACTCTGGTGATGGCGAAGGGACTGGAGAAGGTGAGAGAGGGAGATTACTCGTTCATGAGCGTCAGTTTCTCAATCAAGAGGATCATCGACTCTCTATATACTGATAGCTATGGCCAGACAGCCTACTATCTCAGCAATGGGGAAATTCGCCTTTTGGCTGGCTTTGGGTGGGGTTTCAGGCAAGTATTGTGCTAATATTGATTAATCTTTAGTGACTATGTAACTCATATTATTTTTATGTAGTTCTATATGCATGGTAAAGAATATGAACTCATTACTTTAAATATCAAATGAATTATTTTAGAATGATGTGAGTTTACCGCACTTTATTCGTAGTTAAATCTACACAAATATAACACATTAAAGTTTAACGATATATGCATTCAACTTTTACTTCTGTAAATCATTCAACTTATCATTAGTAATGAATTATTTAGATTATTCGTAACAGTTCTGGTTTCCATGCTACAAGATGATGTAAATTCACACAGTAAACAGTATCCCATTTGTTTACTCTAGGAAAGGTGCTCCATTTTACAACATATTTATGGTGTTACTGTTGCGACTGCAAGATGCTGGAATTATAGATCGATGGACGAAAGAAGTTATGGCACAGCGTGTAAGAGAGGACAGAGAAGCTGCATCATTAAACCCAGAAGCTATACACAGCTCTGCACTACATGTGAGTGACATCCAATTTAGCATTTGGAGTCATAATTGATAGCGTGTGTGTGTGTGTGTGTGTGTGTGTGTGTGTGTGTGTGTGTGTGTGTGTGTGGTGTGTGTGTGTGTGTGTGTGTGTGTGTGTGTGCTTAAACTGTACATAATTTGATTTTCCAAAAATTTCAGGACAGCAGAGTGGTGTTGGGAATGAATCACCTGCAAGGAGCATTCTACATGCTGCTGCTGGGTACAGGAGTGGCCTTCCTCACCCTGCTGGGGGAGAACCTCGCCCACTGGTGCTCCTCCCCTCAGTAACTACCTTCCCAGGCGTGGCCTTCCTCACCTTGCTGGAGGAGAACCTCGCCCACTGGTGCTCCTCCCCTCAGTAACCACCCAGTAACCTCCTCACCAGGCTGGGGAGAACCTCGCCCACTGGTGCTCCTTCCCTCAGTAACCACCCGGTAACCTCCTCACCCGGCTGGGGGAGAACCTCGCCCACTGGTGCTACTTCCTTACCCTCATGTAACACCACTGGCCCCCGGTAACCACCTCACCCTGCTGGGGGAGAATCTCACCCACTGGTGCTCCTTCCCTCAGTAACCACCTCACCCTGCTGGGGGAGAACCTCACCCACTGGTGCTCCTCCGCTCAGTAACCACCTCAACCTCACCCGGCTGGGGGAGAACCTAACCCACTGGTGCTCCTCCCTTCAGTGACTACCTTCACAGGCGTGGCCTTCTTCACCCGGCAGGGGGAGAACCTCGCCCACTGGTGCTCCTCACCTCAGTAACTACCTTCTCAGGCGTGGCCTTCTTCACCCGGCAGGGGGAGAACCTCGCCCACTGGTGCTCCTTCCCTCAGTAACCACCCAGTAACCACCTCACCTGGTTAGGGGAGAACCTAGCCCAATGGTGCTCCTCCCCTCAGGAACTACCTTCCCAGGCGTGGCCTTCCTCACCCTGCTGGGGGAGAACCTCGCTCACTGGTGCTCCTCCCCTCAGGAACTACCTTCCCAGGCGTGGCCTTCCTCACCCTGCTGGGGGAGAACCTCGCCCACTGGTGCTCCTCTCGCCCTCAGGTGTTTAGGTAAGAACATATGCCCACTAGGTGATCCCCCTTTTATAACGAAAAGTATCCCCAACTCGGCTACGATAAAGTACAGGAAAACGTTAGTAGAAGCAGGAAAACTGTAAAGAAAAGAGGTGTTATTTCACCATCAGCCTTTAATATTTTCAGATGTCAGTTCATTTGGTGAATGAACTTGTTTGTAATGAAACATAAACTAAAAGTGACAGGTGTAAATTTTTATAATCGTTTTCAGAAGAAAGTAAGGCGGAGCTAAAGTAAATAATTTAATCCACCTCACAACCACACACCACACACAGTGGCAGGAGTATGTCGACCCTGCAGCACAAATAGGTCAATACACACACACAACACACAGTCACAACACTACACACACACAAGCACTACACACCACATCACACACACATCATCAAATCCGCATGAGTCTAACCTTCATTAATGTTAGTGGCAACCTGAGATGCTCTTGTTGCCTCCCGGGTATAAATACTTCACGCCCAGGTTACTGACGCATTGTTCACTGGGAACCGCCCCAAGCCACACAGTTTACAGCTCAGCACTCTCGTCTACCTTAAGGTACATTGTCCCTAAACATGTTTAAAGTAGTTTACATATCCTACAAACATACAGTGAAGATTTATCAATAGCGTGTAATGAATTTTTTTCATAGATCACAGGTACGTAAGTAGAATCAATTTCCCTCTCTGGTTTTCATAAGTTTGATCCTTTGACTCAAAAAAATCACTCAGTCTACCACTGATGAAGTTCATCTGTGCCATCTTGTAGTTATCCCATATCTTCGATAATATTCTTATCAGCCAAACGAATTCAGGTCTATATTTCTTTGGTGCTGATTAGGATGACTTTACTGTAGTAGACGGGTCACTTGCTTTGTATAAATGCTGGTAGAATTACCGACAATATGTTAGGTAAAAGGACACAAGTGCAGCTAATGTGACATTTTATTGCGATAACTTGTGGTTCTCCAGGAGCTTCGTCAACGACTGACTGATACTACATGGCGGAGGGTCGGGCCTCTATAACTTCTTGCGCTGAGTAACCCACCACTGGCAAACCAACATCCTCTTTCCAAAAGCAAAACAAAAAATATTGCCAAACGTACTGTGACTCTAGCTTTGGGAAAATTAAATTAGAGCAGTAATTCTGAAGCAGTGAAATTGGCATTCTCAATTCATCACACGTGAGAAAGATGACTACAATGCCTCAAATAAAAATGGAAAAAATAAAAAAATAAAAAGAAGTGCTAAACCCACTAGGGTCATACAGCAACAAATACATGCAAAGTAGGAATCGAACCTTTTCTTTATGTAGGACGCACCAGCGTGGGCAGTTTGAAGCCGATCAGATGAGGCGTTTTCAAATTATCATAAGAAAGAAGGAACACTGCAACAGGCCTACTGGCCTATGCGAGGCAGCTCCAATTCTCCCACCGGCTTAAGCCAATGCCTTGACCTAGTGAGGTCAGACACGTCACTTAAGGGAGGAGCAGTGCATCCAGCCTAGTAGCACATGCTAGTCAGGTTCAACTCACACCCACCCACACCCAATCATGTATTTATCCAATCTATTTTTAAAGCTACACAACGTCTTAGCTTCTATGACTGTATTCGGGAGTTTGTTCCACTCATCCACAACTCTATTACCAAACCAGTACTTTCCTATATCCTTCCTGAAACTGAATTTTTCCAATTTAAACCCATTGCTGCAAGTCCTGTCTATGTTAGATATTTTTAGCACGCTATTGACATCCCCTTTATTAATTCCTGTTTTCCAATCATATTTTCCCCTAATTCTACGCCTTTCTAGAGAGTGCAGATTCAGGCCCCTCAGTCTATCCTCATAGGGAAGATTTCTGATACATGGGATCAGCTTTGTCATCCTCCTGTGTACGTTTTCCGGAGCATTTATATCCATTCTGTAATACGGTGACCAGAATTGTGCAGCATAGTTAATGAGGCCTAACCAAAGATATATAGATTGAAGAACAACTTGAGGACTTCTATTATTTATACTTCTTGCTATGAAGCCACTGACCCCTTCCGTGGAACAATAATAATAACAAGGGTAAAACTAATAATAATAATAATAATAATAATAATAATAATAATAATAATAATAATAATAATAATGATGATGATAATAATTACAATAGTAATATACTTGAATTCCTTTTACTGTCACCAGAGGTCGACAGCAATATTGCAAAACATGCAAACTGTTACCTTGGCCAAGGCTCCAGTATACCATATATACCTTCAAACATATAACTACTCTGATCCATCAGACCTGAACGATCAAATCTGACTGATCTACCCAGATTCCTTCCCATGATGTAGATACCTTTAAGGGTTTAGCTCTTTCCTACAAGTATAATTACAAAATATTAGAATATTAGTAAGTAAATATCTAAATAGTGAAAGGAAAATTCGCTTGTCAACAAGATATGGAGTTTTTGGTCATCTGACCGAGACCTTCGACTGGCTTACCGGTCCACCTCTTTAAAAATTAATGATCACTTTTAACCAATTATATAATAAATTTTTCCTTCTAGTCAAACTGATAGGCATTAAAATACATTATTTTCATATGAATAATAAATAAAAATCTTATATTTATAATATGATTTACTCTTCAGGAGGTAAAACAATTATTGGTTTAAACATTTTCTGCAATAGAGAAAAACGAGAACTTGCGTCTCATTTCAGTTTGAGAGAACCAGTCGAATGAATGGGAAACCAAGAAGAAAACGTCTCTCACGAACCAGTCGGACCGGAGTTGTGATGCGTTATCTGGACGGTGTGTCTGCATGGGAAATTTCTCTGATGTATCATATTAGCATATCCACTGTTTATCGATGCATAAATGAGTGGATTAACGAAGGAAAATTAGCCTTACCGTACCACAGAGAGCCGCCTCTGTCTCCTCAGGGAAAGCTGAAGTCAGCTTCTAGCAAGACACAACAACGGAAGCTGGTACCTGCTGATGATTCATCTCACAAACTGCATCTCGGCTGCAGCCCAGAGACCACATATTATTCGCAAGACATCTCGCTCAGAATTATAAAATATTATTTGCAATTTCGCGCACGTATTGTTTATGAGAGAATGCTGATCAATGCATATGCTTTTGTTTAGTAAAATAACAGCATTATGAGGGTAGGACGCGAATATGGCTGTCATGACGACATAAGTTCACATGACCTGGTTTACAATGATTAATTACCCGCAACACCTCGATAGATAAGCGTCGTAAGTAGATAAGTAGAGTAACAATGTTATGCTTACACGAAAAAAAAATCCTAATTATTATTCTTTGGATTTTTTATCAGTTTTTCATCTTAGATAAAGAGATGATTTTCTTCAAATTAAAATCATTCTGACTATAAATTCACCTCAGAAACAGAAGTAAATAAAATCTTTATAGATATTTGTAATGAAGAAAATGTATAATTCTTTAGCTCTGTAATCCATAAAAAAAATATCGGTTATTGTATTAAATTTTCGACGTTCGTTAATATTTACTATAAAACGAGGTTAGTCTATCCTCGTAACTACAAAATATTTTATTGAATAAATTATTAAAAAATTGGCTATCTGAGGTCTATACTTTACATTCGTAGTTTCTATACGATACTTCCATGACTACTTTTGTTAGTAAAATACAGTACGTAAGAAAATAATTTACTTTTCTTATCCTCATTGTGGCATAATTAAGAAACAGTTTCAATAAGCAATTTGTTGTGTATCGTCAGGAGAATATAATTTTTTTTTCACTCATGCAACAATTTGTAGCCATACTCCATATTGTCATTATTTAATAATGACAATATGGATGCAAAAACACAAGAGCAAACGCTTAAAATATAAACCGTACCACGAGAGGGGTTAGAACCCGCGATTAGAGTCTTTCAAAACTCCAGACCGTCGCGACGGTCTGGAGTTTTGAGACTCTCTGACCGAGGGTTCTAACCTCACCCATGGTATGGTTTGTTTGCAATCGTGTCATTACGATTTCATGAGTCACTTACAATATCTCTGTTGGACACTCCTCGGTACATATAGTAGCGAATGCAAGTCAGGCAACAATTTAAGGACATGATTACTGTGTCACGCGGCAACCCGTAAGAATCATGTTGCAGTGTTTTTCTGGTACTGTTGTTGAGATGCTACAATTTTGCCGGCCCTTCCTTCTATGGTGAGGGAAGGAGGAATTAAGGAGGATTCAAAAGCATTAGCACGATAAGAGATAACACAGTAAGTGTCAGGGGCCCAAGACTGTTCAATTGCCTCCCAGCATACATCAGGGGGGATTACCAATAGACCCCAGGATGTCTTCAAGCAGGCACTAAACAGTCACGTAAGGTCAGTACCTGACCAGCCGGGCTGTGGTTCGTACGTTGGATTACGTGCGGCCAGCAGTAACAGCCTGGTTGATCAGACCCTGATCCACCATGAGGCTTGGTCACAGACCGGGCCGTAGGGGCGTTGACCCCCTAAACTCTCTCCAGGTATACTCCAGGTATACACACATGCGATATATACATTTACTCACACGACATACACAAATACACATACCCAGTTGTATATTTTTTTGTTCTAGGTAAACACAATGCTATTTGAAAGTCACAAAACAGTGTTGTTAATAACGCTGATCAACACTGCGCTAATAACTAGCCACGATGTGGGCGGAGCCGTGGAGCAGGTGGGCGTGATGGTGGAACGGATGGTGGAGCACTACTATCTCACCAGCTGTCACCTGGTACTCATCACCACTACACAACACTCACTAATTACAGCCAACATAATCAGGTGAAATATTTATACCTTTGTCGAAATGTGATTTTCTTCAGACTATTTACCAAATACTTTAATTTTCCATTGTATTTTCAAAGATAATAGACTATGTTACGTAGGTAAATATCACCATTGTTGTTAGTGAATAGATGGGAGACGTCAATTGTTAGAAAAGCAACATATAACAAAGGGAGTCTCCAATTTTAACAATGTTTCGCTCGAAAGAAGCTTTATCAAGTACAATAATGGTGAAACGTCGTAGTAATAAACATTCTCCGCCAAATATGATGTTTTTAGGTATCCCTCTTAAAGGGTATAATGCTATTTTTTCAACATTTAAATTCCTTTCAGTGAGATGTCGGTCAAAGCAACTTCTGATAAATTTTAAAATTTTAACGCTTGCGTATTTAAATATATTTACATATATATGCAAAGCAACCACTGAAGAGTTGAATGATAGCTCTAGGCCTTTCGTCTTGCAACCTTCATTTCAGGAACTTGCAATGTTGCAGAAATGAGTAGAATGTCCAGGTAGAAATATATATATATAATATATATATATAATATAATATATATATATATATATATATAATATATATATATAATATATAATATATATTATATATATATATATATAAATATCTTGATAGTTCCTTCATAATGTGAGTAGTCACGAAAGCGCTTGGAATTTCTCTATTCTTTCAGAGTGGTTGTTTTGCATATATATATATATATATATATATATATATATATATATATATATATATATATATATATATATAATATATATATATATATATATATATTATATAATATATATATATGTAACATATAATATAAAACATATAATATTTATTAATATATGCATTCGTATATAATTTTTTGTCTCTTAGACGTTTGAGTGAGAGTTTGGAGGCTGGGCTGGTGGTGAGGTAGGGTGGGTGATCTCCCAGGACCAGCTGGCCCAGGACCAACTCCTGCAGGGTGTCTGGGGCGACTCTAAGACCACCTGCCGGGGTCTCATCCTTGACCTCACCAACACCAACAATACTCTTCCTCTCTTAAGGTAACTTTATAATTGATACTGAAATCTGGAGCTGAAGTTGACTGATCCATTATAAAGAAAATACAATCTGAACTGATTGGTTTGGCTTAGCCAAAATTTTACGCAATTCTTAAATCTACAAACATTAGTTTTCGTATATAGATAAAGCAGTTTGGATATTTGTTGTTTGTTATCAGTGTGAGATAAGATTGTTAGACCTTCCCGAATTTTAGAAATTTCTCATTAGCATTTTTTTATTCTTTGCTTGAAAGAACTGGGATAAAAAGTATAAAAATCCATTGGTTAGTCAACAACACATGAGTCACATCAGATGTCGAGGAGATAGAAAATTAATCAGTTTCCAAATGAAGAAAAATTGAGAGAGTACAGATTCTCTTGGTAACGTTACGCAGGTTTCTTGAGGAAGCTGAACTATGGAAGTTACCAGAGACTCTTGTGCTTGTTGTGGGAGGAAAAGCGGGGGTGAAGGATGTGCTTCTCCACCATAGCCTCCACAACACTATCCACGCCCTCTACCTGGCCCTCCACGACCTCACCCTCCAAAACATTACCTTCAATGACGTCGTCCAACACAGCATCAAATTCATAGCACCACTACATAACCCACGTTATAAAAAACCCGTTACACGGGAAGGTCAGTATGCGTCCGGGATCTTTATTTTCTGATACGACACTGACATTTTTCATGTGCTCACATAGTATATGGGATGACACAGTGGAGTTTCTGTAACACAAGAATTCCTGCAATTAAAGATAATGTGTTGAACAAGATTTCAATGGAATTTCGCTTCACTTCGGCTTGAGCTCTACCTGACCATGACTTTGTTAAAGTTTTTCACAGAAAGGTAATCAGATTTCATAAAGCTTGTCCTGCATATTGTGTCTTTAATCCCATACTTGTCAGTATTGGGTCTTTGTATTCAATTTTCGAAAATATAAGAAACTTGCATACCTGATAATATAAAACATGGGAAATGTTCATAAATATTAAAACGCATTGTTCAGTTACTTTTCTTTTGTTCCTAAGCGTATATAATTAACTTCTGTATAATCAGGCACACTAGTGAGTGGAGGTGTGTGGGTGTACCGGAGGTGTCTGTACTGTAACATGGGTGAGGCAGACGTCCAGCTCCTCCACCTGTGGAACCTCGCTTCATTTACTCACAGCAAATATGATTTATTTCAAGGCGAGTATTCTTTGGTTTGTTTACTTAGTATAAAGATTGATCCTCTGTCTGCTGAGTACGAGACAGACGCGCTTCCTCTCTGTACTCACCTATTTGTTAATGCAGGTAGATATATACTGTTGTCATCATCTAACATCACACAGTCACATCATCCTAACACAAAGACCTGTAGAAATCAAAACCACATCACTTAAGAAATATACATTTTTTATTACGATTGTTTTTATAACAAGACAATGTTTGTAATTTGACTAACGTATATTATCAAAAATGACGTCCTCTTATTTCTTTAACAGAGCAGTTTCATAACTTCTGGGGAAAGAAATGAAGTTTTCAACTATTATATACTTCCCGTACACGGATTACACTTAGATAATAGTGAACCAGGCAGCACAGTGTCCCTCAAGGACAGCCTTGATGCTAGACTTCTGTCTCTCGTTACTGAAAAACTCAACATTAGGTAAATTTATTTGTATCTCTTGTGTAAATTGTGTAGCAGATGAGTTAACTGTTAAACAGAATAATTTTTAATTGTATAGTATAGAAATCAGGAAATGTAGTTAGGTGATATTCTTTCAAGACGTGTTCGTCTTTTTTATCTGCTGACAGGGTTTAACGCTTCCCCTAAATATAATAAATACATATAATTTGTCCCTTTGTAGTTGGTATAAAAAAAATATTTTGATCCCACAAATCTTTCAACAAATTAAGTGGTATCTCCGTGGTCTTATTACCTTATTTATCTGTGATTCGAAGCTCAGTGATGCGGGAGATGCCTAATCGATATTATGGTGTGCAGAAGAATGGCCAGTTCACTGGTATAATAGGTCAACTACAGCGGGAAGAGATAGACATTGGTGCACCAATGGGACCCCTTTCTGAACGCATCCCGGCAATGGAGTTCTTGAGGGCGTACGAAGTCGACCCACTGATCATTGTGTCTTTGAAGCCAACTCTTCTGCCACAACTCCTCTCACTCTTAAAACCTTTTTCACGTAAGCAATTTATATAATTATTTTGTGTTTACTAACAAACCTTTTATTTGTATCTTGGAAGAATGGCAAGCTCTTAGCATGGGACTATACCTGTGTGTCCACACTGGCTGACACCTATATCCATCACAGTGTGGGGCGACAGGGAGGAGCTGCTGACCACAGGGAGGAGTACAAGATCAGCAAGTACAGGGACATTAGCCAACAGTATCAATTTGTCCCAGTGGGATCAGAGACCTTGGGATCATGGGGAAAAAATGCCACACGTTTCCTTAAAGAATTGGGTTCCAGACTCATCGACACCACCAGGGACCCAAGGGCAGCCACTTTCATGTTCCAGCGCCACAGCGTCGCCATCCAGAGGGGAAATGCTTGTTGCATACTTGGCTCACGTCCAGCCTCGGAGGAGCTGGAGGAAATTCATGATCTTTGATACATTGCGCCATTGTATTCATGTTTATGTTTTTTTCTGTAAATGTATTTTGTTTATTAATAAATGTTCACATAGAATAAAAAATATATAGGGGTGGTAGGAGAAGAAAATATTCAAACAGCTCCGGGAGAACCTTGAGTTTTCCCTGAGGTACGTTTATTGTCTTCTCTGAGGATGAGGGTCCCCATTCCAGCTATAGAGGTGGTACTTCCCTATATAAATAATATAATATATATATATTTTTATATATAATATAAATATATATATATTTTTATAAAAAATATATATATATATAAAAATATATATATATATAAATATATATATATAATATATATATATATATAAGAAAGTAACACCTAGATGAATAAACACGTTGTAAGCTTCAGCTACACTTTATGATATAATATCCAATTAATTCTTTCTTCAGGAGAACTATGGCTGACGTTGTTGACGAGTGTGGTGTTGTGGGGTGTGATCATGTGGATACTACAGAGAGTATGGTGGTGGGTCACAGGGACACACACAGTCAACTTCGTCACCATCCTTCTGTATGGCTGGGGCGCACTCCTGGCCAACCTGCCCTCAGATCCTTCCGTCAACAAAGCAGGAAAAGTAAAATTGTGTATCATTATCAGTGGTTTTTCATACTACCTTATATAACACGCAAGTCTTCCAAGTTTGGAGTATACTATATTGATTCTTCTTGCGGTGAAATGGCGTCGCTTATAAAGACAAATGTCTAAATCCTGGGGGCAGCTCTGAAGGCTGATTTCTAATTTTTTTGCATCCTTCCAGGTTCTCAGCCAAATCACCAAGACAAAGTCCGATGGACTTTGCTGCCAGGAGACAGACTAGTCTGACGAATTAGTAAAACAATCAGTTCTCTCTCCATATACAATTACTGTAAAGAAATGGATGCTAGAAGTGACACAAATGAAGTGCAATAAGAAATTTTTTTCTTTTTAGCAAATAATATGATGAATATTTGTTGAAATTTATGATGGATTTTATTTATTTTGGTGCCTTAAATTTGACACATAATCCTACGTTAACCACTAAACAGCAGTAGCAGAAAGGTAGCTAGGATTAGGAAGTCAATCCTAACACACGTAGAGATTGAGGCCAATGTCCTAGTCTATGAAAATAGAGTTCAGACACTCTAAACACCTTTAATTGTTCTTAAGCTAGAGCTCAACTTTGAGAAGCGTGTATTTAACTACAGTCAATATATTAAAATTTAAATTATCTAGAATACTGACTTGAGTTTTTCCACACGAGATATGAGTTAATTTAAACAGGTGTGACAGTCAGCAGCAGCGACACAAAACGTGAACAAAATATGAGATTTTTTCTCTTTGGTCTTCTAAACATGACTGAGTTATTTTTCATTATTTTGTATAGACATTAGAGAACTAAATATTATATTGAACAGTATAAAATTAGGTAAGATAACCTAACTGAATATTCATCACATCGACACCTTGTCCAGCCCTTCTAGGGTAGGGTAGGTTCCTGAGCCATAGCTTGTAGCTCACAAGACTGTCATTCCCATTATCCCCCTTGGGACTGGGATGGCAGACCAGAGAGGTCTAGCTTCTCCTTACGAGCCCCGTGAGGGCGGGGAATGTGGCTAGGCCTGAGGATAGTTGATCACAACGATGAGAGGGGTACTTGTGCCTCCTCCCATGGGAGACTTGGGTCTCAGACACTCCCTAGATAGGGAACCAAAGGCCGGGCCACCACTTGGAAAAGTTCCGGGCCGGGAGAATATCGGTGAATCAACAAGAAGGTGAATATTCATCACAAGAGCTACCAGCATGAAATTTCAATGAGGGAAGCTGTGTTATTAGGATAAGTGTAGTTACATAAGAAGAATTCTGAAGTGGACAAGCTTAATGTAGCAATATTTTCTAGACATTCTGGCTGGTCATTACCATGAGATGTAGATATTGCTTTTACTTTTCCAATTGTTGGTGGGCGTGTGGCTGATGTTGTGTCTGGTCATAACCACAGGTTACAGCTTCTCATTATGTTTCCAGGTGTTGGTAGGCGCGTGGTTGATGTTCTGTCTGGTCATGACCACAGGTTACAGCTCCTGTTAGCGTGCTACACTTGTCGTCAAGAAGACTAACCCCCGAAACCTTTCAGAGGATCCTGGTGCATCAGAAACTGGAATGGGAAAATTGAACTTATGTTCTAGCGGATCATACTCTCTATTTCACACATCCGACCCTATAATACAAAATATATAAGAAAAGGAGGTCACTATCATATATTTATAAGAAAATAACAAAAGAGATAAATTGCAGAACAAGTTATGATGGGATATATATTTGATTAAAATCCTAATATATAATATACCGGATCATATATATATATATATATATATATATATATATATATAATATATATATATATATATATATATATATATA